TCCGCCGAGGCATCTGGCATCTCTGAATCCTCTGGATCTGTGGTCTTCGGCGTGCCGACTGTTGACACAGCCTCTGATGGGAATAGCGACGAATCACCGGGTGTCTCAACACCGAGGTTCTCTTTCCCTCCAGCCTTTGAGGGCCGCGACGCCTTTCCGACGTTCACATTCTTACCACCCAATGCATCGGGTGTCTGTGAGACATCACGACTATCGGCACGAGCACGTTTATTAGTGTTCTTGCTTGGCGCCTTGTTGGCAGCAGCAGTCTTCTTCTTGTCAGCCTTTTCAGGCTGGGGCCATTCAACCTCGTGCGTGAGATCAATACGCGAAGACGAAACCCATTCTGGAACACATGTTAGATCGAAACAAACACAGTGAGTGCACTGCTGCAGCACGACTTACCATCAAGACGCTTGTTGAAATCAACATAATGTACGCTGGGATCCATATCAGCACTGACTCGGAGCATAGACGAGAAAACAATTGCCAAACATACTAGAAAGAAGGGCCGTCCTTCCGCTGTCTGATTGACAGAATCTCAGCTTTGCGCAGCTCTCCATCCTATCAAAGTCAGTCAGTATTAGGGCTAGACAAATCATATTGTCCAGCGACCCCAGCCATCACGTGATGTGATCACCAGAATCTGCGCCACAGGGACAAAACCAACCTTCTGCACCATGGCCTTCACACCGATTCTATGACAGCAGTTAGCACTTGCGACCGAGTAAAGTACCCATGGGCACCCCGAGGACAATTTTTTCATGTATAAAAAGCGACATACCGGATAGTATTGAGGGTGGCGAAGCCCTTCTCGACAGGGTCGGGCGTCCCCGTCGCCTCCCCATGGGAATCTCGGACGCCCATCTTGATAGACTGGCAGTACGACCGAACGAAACAATGTCCGAGATGAAAACTGATGAAATGGCGTTGATAAGTGCTCACTTGGGTGATGCGCTCATGGGTTGTTACGGGAAAGGGAGGAATCCGGAGTTCGAGTTTAGCCGTTCCGCTTTTGGGAACAATGCATCATCAACTGCGACTATGGCAATTACAGGTATGATATGAGGTGTACAGATACTTTTTCGTCTGTCTACATAATGAAAAACCATGAAAGCAATGAAACACCGTCCCTTGTTTTTTGATCTGCTTCCCTTTTCCCATTCCATAGTGCCATGCGTGGCATGGTCTTTTTATGTGAAGCGATAAAAGAACAGTCCAAACCAACGCCAAGCGCCTTGCAGATAAATTAGAGATATGCAGAGAGTCCCGAGAAAGAAGCCAAAGACATGCATCGACGCAGTGGTGTGTTTCTTTCTTGTTACTCTTCGAACTTGCGTTTGACGCCGTTTGGATTCGGTGCCTGGGCTCTCCGTTGCCTGTCTGCATCTCCAGCAGCCATGTTGTTCGCGCGCTTTTTCCAGGCAGTCTTGATAACCGGCGCAAGACGGATGAGATCTTCTTCTGTGACGCGGTCCTCGATACTTTCAAGAACCTTCTCAACAGTAGATATGTGATTGGCATCGTTCTTGTCGTCACGGAGACGATGGAAGCGCCACCGCCCTTCTGAATCCTTAGCACACTCAACGATAGTGTTGTCTAATGGAACGCCCATAGCCTTGAGATCCTCCCATTCATTCGTATCAACGAACATCTCTCCAAAATGACGGTACTCGCCGGCGTTGAGCATGACAAACAAATGGAAGATTGGGATAGCATCATAGTCCACGTAGGGCTGAGTGATACCCTCAGACTCATCCTCGGTATCAGGCTCAAGCATCGGGAATTCAAGGCGCATACGGAAATCAATGGTATTCTCAGCTGGCGGCTTCCACTTAAGAATATGCTCGTCCGTCCCAATGCGGTACGGAGTACTGCGGCAAGTAAAAATGAGACCGTCGTTGCCGTGGATTTTCTTAACCTTTGGAATGATCTCGCGGAACATCATCTCAATACCGTAACTGAACTGCGTAGACTTGTCCTCGACAGCAAACGCGCGGTGTTGTTTCTCTTCTGGGAACTTGCGGTACATGGCATTGTATGGCCGGAGGACCTTTTCCTTGAAGTACGCCAGTCGCTTGTCCAAAGTCCGGTGCATTAGACTCTGCCCATCCAGCACAAGACAATCAAAGACCAGGTATTTCAGCTGTCGTGATCCATCTTCGTACGTGTCGTTGACGAGCTCGCCGTCGACTAGGGTGTCAACGTGGTATGACTGGAAAGTGTCGTCGTTCGGCAGCGGGAAATGCAGGCCCGGTACGAAGCGGTAGTCGTTCTTGCGATCAATCAGGTAGTGAATCTCCGGCGTGTCGGAGTCTGGATCCCCGCGCGCAAAGTACATCAGGCAGCGAATGCCGTCTGTCTTTTCGCACACGAAGTAGTCCTCGCGCTGCAATTCCTCCAGGTGTTTCGACGAGAAGCTGACTGGTTGTGCGCCGGGGAAGTTGAGATTGTTGCGCCCGAGGAGAGTCGCGACTTCGCGGCGGAATTGATCGGCCAGGTCATGCTCGGCTTTGATTCCTATGGAATCTAGGTCGGGAACAGCGTGGCTCATGGTGAAGGGTCGAGGGGTACGAGAGGCTGTAAATATCGGACGTAACTAGGCAAGGATGCCTAGTAGGCTTATGATTCCCTCAAAGAGTGAGAGGGGGGTCAGGTCGCGATCAATAAGACTCGGAGAGCTAGGTGGAGTGATAGCTGCAGAGGGCGCTCGCCCGCAATGGCGACGAGATAAACTGGGTGTTCCTCAGCTGGAAGCTGTGGGAAAAGCGAATAAAGAGGAATCTCAAAGGACCATGGCCTGGCTTGCGATTGTCACGACTCCAGGTTTCAAAGACAATGACTGATCGGCGAGCGGAATAGTGGTGGCCTGATGACTCAGGCCACAAATAACGTAATCTGAATAGCTTCAACTACTGCAGTTCTCTTGTCGTTCTATTGTCAAAAACTACGATGGTCACAACAAAGACCAATGACCAGTGTGGAAAGGATTCAATTGCAATCTACTTTCCAAGCTTCAAATGTATCGCGCCAGCCGGGGTATCATGTCGTCACCTTTCAAACCAAACAGAACCAGCCTGTGCCCATGGCCTATCCAGGGAAATCGAAGAAGAAGAAGGATGACAAGAAAGGAACGGAGGTGATCACGCTAGTAAGTAGTCCCTGCGCTCGTGAACGCCAGCATCCAATATCCAGTACACCAAGGGAACTCAAAACCAAGCGCAACGAAAAGAGAGTTGTCGTAAGTCATCATCCAATGCGCCAGGTGGATTACGAAGCAGTCACTGGGGTCTTGCGCGCACCAGAGACATCAGACTCCGCATTAGGGACCAAGGGCGAGGAGTCCATATCAGCAGCGACAGACTGGAAAAGAAGGCCACCAAAGAGAGGCTGGCTGTCGTCGGCGGAGAAAAGCCCACCACCGCCGCGAACTCCCATTGCATGCGACATCTGCTCCTTGATGCGAACGTATCGGTACTTCGATTTGGTAGTGATTAAGGGGTGTTGGACCAAAGGCTGGGGTTTAGAACGAGCGATAGCAGCCATAACAGAATCTCTCTCTTCGTCCGAGTCAATAGGGCCGTTGTTCTCAATATCTTCCTGTAGGGGGGCATTGGCATCGATTGCGGCCTCTGGATTCGAATAGGTCAGTCATCTGTCGTCGGGGCAAAGAACAAAAAGATAGCACATACTCTGCTGGCGAGCCTGATTTTTCTTCTGATACTGCTGAAGTAGCATATCATAAGGCAAGGTACGGCCAGGAACAGACCGCTTGGCACCCATGGAATGACTCTTGCAAGTCAAGGAGCGAGCGCACTGCGCGCCGTTGGGTAGAGTAACACCACATTGTTTCTCGACATCCACAGGACCCTTGGGTTTGGCGGTCTTCGGCTTGGGCTCGTCCTTCTTCTTCTTTTTCTTGGGCTCCCCTTTGTCGTCCTCATCGGCCTTGCGCTTCTTGCCCTTCCTATCCTCGGTGCTCTTGACGGCGCTCTTCTTGGAACTTTTCTGGCCCATCATTGAGTTTTCTCCGTCGGCCTTGTCGAGAGGGTCGTCATCTTTGTCGTCGCCGGCCTTTGCACGATTTGCTGCGTCGCGTGCCTCCTTCTTCTTGCGCGCCTTTTCTTGCTTCGCTTTCAGACAACCGCGGACATGCTCGGCCGCTGTCTGCTTAAGAGTGGGGCGCTTGCAGTGCTTGCAAATGACAGTTTCGATCAGGTCTTCCTGGCGCGGTTTGCCGGTTGGGAATACGGAGACGATCTTGTCGTCGAGGCTAGGGAGAGGGGATGAAGTAGGAGAAGTGTCAACAGGACCGTCTTTGAGATCTGAGAGGTTGTTAGAGTCCGTTGTGTCCGAGGCACGGGGTCGGGGAGCCGTACCATCTGCCTTTTTCTTAGTTGACGCCTTGGACGTCTTCTTCACTTTGATCTTGCCGGGTTTGGTGTCCTTGTCCGTGAAGGAGTAACCGGACGCATCAACCAGACTTCCCGTTCCTGTCGAACAGCATGTTATCAGTTGGAGATCTTTGTCGACTCCAGTTGCATTGATTTTTTATCAAAAGCGGCTCAAGTTTGGCGCGCCTTCGTCACAATCGGTACAACTTACCTCGACCAGGGTCGCCATTGGTCGCCATGGTGGGCGCAAACTGAGAATAACTCGAAACACAAAACGCTCTCAGGTTTTCACAGCGAGCGTTTTGTACAAGGCTTGGGAATGGTTATCTAGGAACACTGTCCAGCATCTGGAGTCAAGGTCGGGCTGGGGCTCCGCATTTGGATGGATCACGTGCCATATATTGTAGTAATATTAGCCCTTCATTGTTTGAGGTTCTATTATTAGGGACAGCCATTGTAAAAAAAAAAAATTTCAAATTCTATTTGCTACTGTCTTTCAACAGCGCATCAATGATCTATCAGATATAGGCCATTTGGGCACTGAGTACCTCCTGTCAAACAATGAAGAGACCCACACCGAATGTTATACAAGTCCGAAAAGAGCCACTAAGAGTACTTTGCAAAGCAAAGACTGCTGTTAGTTCCACCAAATCCAAAGCTATTGGTCAAAGCCACATCAATCTGTCTAGACTGAGGGTCCTTCGGCGCATAGTTGCAATCAAACCCGTCGGCCAGACGTTCCAGGTTGATAGTAGGCGGCATAGTATTCTGTCTCTGGTTAGCAAAATCTCTATCGAATAACCCAGGATGTGAAAGCACCACTAACCTCATGAATCGCAAGCACACTAATTAAAGCCTCGATAGCACCAGCACCACCAAGAAGATGACCAAGCGCACCCTTGGTACTACTGACATTCACATCAGCAGCCTTCTCCTTGCCATCGGAGCCAAGCAAAAGGGACTTGATAGCAGCATTCTCAGCAGCATCCCCAACAATAGTCGAGGTAGCATGTGCATTGACATAGTCAACCGCGGCAGGACGCAACTGTGCCTGCTTAAGCGCCTTCTTCATAGCCATGAATGCGCCTTCGCCGTTTTCTTTAGGCGAAGTCATGTGGTGCGCATCACTGGAGCAGCCGTATCCTTTAAGTTCGGCGTAGATCCGTGCTCCTCTCGCAAGGGCGTGTTCTAGGTCCTGTATCAGATATTAGTATAGAGCTGGGTATAGTCGGTGTTCGCATCGCACATACCTCGAGGATCATCACCGCTGCGCCTTCGCCTACCACAAAGCCTCCGCGGTCAGCATCGAATGGCCGGGATGCCTTCTCTGGTGTATCGTTGAAAGCTGTCGCTAGACTTCTGGCGCGAGCAAAGCCGCCTATAGCTAATGGATGGATGCAGGACTCGGCTCCTCCGGCAACCATTACATCGGCATCGCCGCAGGCAATGAATCGGGCAGCGTCACCGATGGAGTGTGCACCGGTTGTGCACGCTGTTGTCACGGCATGATTCGGGCCCATGAATCTGTATTTCATGGAGATGTGTCCAGCTCCAAGATTGATCAGGAGCTTCGGCACAAATAAAGGATTGACCTTTTTGTAGCCCTATACAACGAGTCAGCCATGGTCTTCCTCCGAACAGTGATCAACTGACGCCTTTTTCATAAGCTACAACTGTGTTGTAGATCTCGTCAAAGTTCCCAATACCTGATCCCAGACAAACACCCTATAATATAAAATCAGTACACAACCAAAGCGCTTATAACTTCTCAGAAGAATATACCGTAGCCTCTCTCTGCTCAAAAGGCTCAGGCTTCCAGTCAGCATCTTGAAGCGCCTCTTCAGTAGCAGCCATAGCATATTGCGCAAACTGAGCCATCTTCCGCTCATCCTGCAAGAACCATCAGCATCACAGACGAAAGCAACCCAACAATAATATCACATACAGCCCGACTCAACCACTCAGAAGCCGTCCACCCACCATCCTCCCGACTCCCCTTGGGCACAACAGCAGCAACCTGACAAGGCTGCTCAGCAAAACGCTCATCACGCTCTTTCACATTCACAATGCCACAATGTCCATCCAGCAAACGCTTCCAGGAGCGCCGAATACCTATACCGCGTCACAGCCCATATCAGCAATTCATTCATACTCGGAGCTAAACTCCGGAGCTCCATGCACATGTCAAATCAAATCAAATCATAGCCTTGCACGATCAACAAATGCGCACATGCAGTATGTACAAGCGGACAATAAGCCGCTGCGCTTCTGTCCGCCATTGGCAAGACTTTCCCCTTCCGGAGGGGAGTGGGGACTCAAGACATGGGAGAGTCCGGGGATGCCATGCAGCTCCGGCGAACGAAGCGCGGGTCGGATGATGTGCGATAAAAGGATTTGAGAGGAATGGGGACTTGGAAAATTGGGGAGAAATTGCATGCATCGCGAGTCATACGGCGTGCGCGCGAGCTCCAAAGCTCCAGAAGCTATTTGCAAAGAAAACGATCGCGACTCACCCACACCAAGCGGAGTGACCGCTCCAAGACCTGTTACGACGACACGCCGCATAGCATTGTAAATAGCTATTTAGAATAGCTAAATAACACTTGTGTATAGTTGCAGTGTAAGTGTCAAGGGAAAAGAAAAAGCGGGCCACAGCCAAGAAAGGAAAGTCTGCACGATCGGGTGGCGCTATCTTCCTCTAGGAAGTTCGGAGAGATATAGATACTGCTGAATGCTTGGTGCTTCTTCTTCTTCTCTGCTCTTCAATCAACTACAATGTCTTGGAAGACCTTGCTCACGCTGGCTCTAGCCAGCTCCGCGGCCGCCTGCTCGCACCACAATGACGGCGAGGTCGTGCCAGAACACGAACGGGCCGAACTACTCAAGAAATGGGATCAGGAATGGTCGTTCTCTGGAATTGCCAGTTTCGCCCACTTGAAGCCTGTCAAGTGTCTCATCGAGCCGGATGAACACTATGACATTGCTGTTATCGGTGCGCCGTTTGATACCGCTGTTAGCTACCGCCCTGGTATGATATGACCTCCCATACCCCAACCAACCTACACTACACCACTTCCCTCCAAGCAAGAGAAGCCACAAAACGAACCAGATGAACTAACAAACCCCTCCAGGCGCTCGCTTCGGCCCACGCGCCATCCGCGCCGCCAGCGCCCGCCAAATGGCAGCAACGAGCTACAACACCCGGGCCGGAATAAACCCCTACAAGTCCTGGGCAAAGATAACCGACTGCGGCGACATCCCGATTACACCCTTCGACAACGGGCTCGCTGAACGGCAAATGTACGAAGCCTTCCTAGAACTAGGCTCTCGCAAGATCGTCAACAAAGCGCCCAAAGCCAACACAGGCATCGGAGCCACACACCCCAAGCTCGTAACCCTCGGCGGCGACCACAGCGTCGCCCTGCCCGCCCTCCGAGCCCTGTACCAGATCTACCAGAAGCCCATCACAGTGCTGCACTTCGACGCGCACCTCGATACCTGGAACCCCGTGCGGTATAGTGCCTACTGGCAGAGCGAACAGACTCAATTCAACCACGGGTCCTTCTTCCACAAGGCTAGTCGCGAGGGCCTAATCTGCAATGCGACAAGTGCGCATGCGGGTCTGCGGACGCGGCTGACTGGTGTTGATGCTGGTGATTATACGAACCCGGGACCTGAGCAGGGCTTTATTCGGATTCATGCGGATGATATCGATGAGCTGGGTCCTATGGGTGTTGTTGAGACTATTATTGCGCGCACTGGGATTGATGCGGAGCAGCCTGTTTATCTCTCTGTTGATATTGATGTGTTGGATCCTTCTACTGCTCCTGGAACGGGGACGCCTGAGCCTGGTGGTTGGACGACGCGCGAGTTTATTCGCATTCTGCGCGGGCTTGAGAAGTTGAATGTTGTTGGTGCGGATATTGTGGAGGTTTCGCCGGCTTATGATAATAAGGGGGAGACTACTGCTCTTGCGGCGGCGCAGGTTGCTTTTGAAATTATTACTAGTCTTGTTAAGGCTGGTGTTGATGAGGAGCTTGGGGGTTGGTATGGGTGGAAGGAGCAGCTTGAGGGTGTTGAGGCTGAGAAGGTTGCTAAGGATGAGCTTTGAGTGGTTTGTCTTTGGTGTATATAGATGATATGACATGAATGAAGTGAAGATTGATGACTATACTATGTGTTAATGTGTTCGTAGACCAGAGTATGAATGATAGCTGGTCCATGCTTTGATCTGCACATGGCAGAGTAACCTACAATTAACTTAACTACCCTTGTTCAAGAGATACATCTACTTTACTACCTCTTCAGGTGTCCCATCAATCTATTATCTACGACGAATCACTTCAAAGAACCAGTCTGATTGAGTCTACAGCCTCCGACTTTCTAGATCCAGAATAATGTTGCAAAAAGTCCAACGCAGAAGAGAACAAAAGCAGAGTCTTGTATCAAAGCGCAAGAGTCATGCCAATAGACAGGAAATAAGTAGAAGTAGAAAACATACGCAGAGCAAGCCAAATCTGCTAGGCAAGGCACATCAATATCAAATTCAGATTCCAGTTGCAAATAGAATGTGTAGAAATATCAAAGGCAAAGGCAAAACTGGGGGATATGGGCATTGGGGGAAAGACGAAAACCGTCAGCCCGAAACACGACGCCCTGACGTCCAACGCCGGAGAGACGATGAGAGAGGTAAAAGCATGAAGTGGGTAATAGGGTGTAATGGAGCGACGCGAACAAAAGGGGAGGGAAGGGGTCGAAATTGCTGTCGCTGAAGTCGTGAAGGAGAGAGAGGTAAGTGACATCAAATGGAACGTCGAGAGACGAGGAGCACGCGCGAGGCACCTCGATATCAGGGTTTCGATAGCAGACGCAGCCAGGCGAAGCAAAAGCAGAAAAGAAACAAGCAAAGAGAAAGAGACAAACGAGGGAGATATGGCAAGTTAGAGAGGCTAGAGCTGGGAATCCCGGGTATGCCAAATGCAAGCGCAAGAGAAAGGGGGTCAAAAGAACAAGCCAATTTCAACTGGAAACGTAGATATGGGACCGCTTCAAATAGCATCGCTAGAACAAAAGATCCCCCCTTTTTTTTGGTGCTGCATATCAATATCCCAAGAAAACCAGTCCAGCCAGGAATATTTGCCTCCCAATAAAACGTGAAACGGAGGAAAAAAGCGATAAACAAGGTTCATTTCATCGTAGCTGCTTCGAGGCGCACGTCAACCAGGCAACCCGACGCGCGACAGTTCATCCGCGCAATCGGATCCAACCTGATCCGAAACAAAAGAAAATTAACCGTGAAGCGATTCACAGCAAGCGGCAGCCTCTTGACTTCTTCTTCGGCGCGGGCTCAAGCGCCGCAACAATAGCCTAGAGAGAAAGTGGAGGTCAGTTTCGGCGGTGTAGAGGGGAAGATATCGGGTAGCAAAAAAGTGGAGGAGATGGGTACCTCATCAAAGACATCCTTCAACTTGTACTGCGTCAGAGCGGAACACTCGACGTATTTCACCGCACCAAGCTCCTTAGCCATGCGGTCACCGTCTTCCTTGCGGATGGGTTGCATCTTCTGGCGGGAGAGCTTCTCCCGCACGCCGGCATCTTCGCGCAAATCGGTCTGGGTGCCGACGATGAGGCAGGGGACACCGGGGCAGTGGTGGTGGACTTCGGGGAACCACTTTTCGCGGACGTTCTCGAAGGAGGCGGGAGAAGTGACGGAGAAGCAGACCAGGAACACGTCAGTCTGTGGGTAGGAGAGCGGGCGCAGACGGTCATAATCCTCTTGACCGGCGGTATCGAACAGTCCAAGGGTGTAGGGTTCATCACCGATCCTGTTCAGCGGCACACGGTCAGATTTGTCGCTGCCGTAGGAATGTTTCGGGGGAAAGGGGTAGCGGCACTTACATCACAGTCACGGCGTAGTTGTCAAAGACGGTGGGCACATACTCCGAGGGGAACTTGTTCGTTGTGTATGAGATGAGCAGACAGGTCTTGCCTACTGCACCGTCCCCCACCACGACACACCTGGGGGAGTTAGCAGGGAGGGGTCAAGGATAGATGAAGGGAACATACTTGATGGTAGCGACAACCATTTTGACACTGTAAACTGTGGAAGTGGTTGGATATTGGATGGGGAGAAAGAAAAGTGGGAGACAAAAAGGGAGGAAGAAGCTGTGGTCTGGATTGAATGGGGCAACCCGCAGAGTATGGGAGTCTAGACACGGGCACGGCTTGTACTCCAAGCGAGATCTCTTTCATCTGTTTACACGTTATTTCTCGATTTAAGCTCTTTTTTTATTTACACGTTAACTGCCCAGAGGTTATTCCCCCTTTCTCTACTCCGTAAAAGAAAAACAATTTCCAAGGCGTTTCACGGGGATCCTCGGCCCCATCTCCTTTCAAGCCGTTTTTTAAGCCAACGGTAAAGCGTTCTGGACCCGTAATATTGCTTGCAGCTACTTAAACCGATTTAATATAAGGCAACTACGCTCGAACGGGATCATCCCCTATATATCCCCCTCCCTCCTCCACCTCCTTACCCCTAAGTCCAAGCCCAAGCCCAAATCCAAGCCCCAACCAAACGGCCCGATCTAGCTCCAGTTCCAGCTCCAGCTCCACAAAAGCCTTAGTCTGAACAGGTAACTGCAAGAATGAGGTACCTAGAGACACACCAGAGTAACCTAGAGGTCATGGACGACTTACAGTGCTGACTGTACATGGAGGTACCAACCTAACGTTAGCGCTAACAAATTGCATGCACTCCTTTCCCGCTCTCCCGGTCTCCGGCCTCCGGCTTGGGCATATGCCTAATAGATGAAAGCCAAAGTCCTTGGGAACGGAAGTGTGTGTCTGGTAGGCGTACATGCATACATATGCAGGTACATGCACGGGCTATCTACATACGTGGTTGAATACGGGATGGAGATGAGAGAGGGCGGGAAAGCGGATAGGGGGAAGAGTGAGAGTGATAGGGGTAAGGAGACCTGGATATGGATTGGTCACGTTTGCTCTGCTCTGTTGGCGGGAGAGTAGGGCAGGTATGCATGGTGTTTACAGTAGGGCTGGACTGGACTGGACTAGATTGGATTGTGCTGGGTTGGATTGTGTTGGATTGGGGCTGGGACTTTCTTGTCTGCTACTGTCAGTTAAAAGTCCGTCAGTGATGTACAATTTCCAGCTACGGGGTAATGGTTACCTGTTTTACATAGAATGTGTTCAGATATCTACCTGGTAGGAGCTGGCGGTTACTGTGCCAACTAGTGAGATGAACTCTCCCCTGATAGAAAACGGTTGTTACAAGGAGATGAACGGGGCCCACATAGCATCGTGATGATAACTACAGGGCTGAAGGGCGCGTGCTTGTTACAAGTATAGAGAAAGCCCAGAGCGGCAAGCCGGCCGTATCGCAATGCGAGTTTAGTCCCGGTCGGAAGTTGGCTACTTGGACAGGTCGATCCTGGGAGGTGCAGGGCGGCATAGGGTCTAGGCTGGGCTGGGGGATTTGGTAAAGAGATGGGTCTTGTGCCTTGGTCCATGATCCTAGGGTGGATGAGTTGTCTACACTACAGCACAGTCCAGTGCTCGGGCCAAGTTTGCCGTGTACAGATGGAGGGTCATTTGTCCAGAGCTTAAATCCACTGTGCAGATCTATCGAATGGGTACAGTCTCTGAAACGTCTAGAACTCACAAAAGAAAAAGGAGTCGCGTCAAATGCAAATGATGATCTGGCTCGTGGGTCAGTAACTTATAGATAAACATGTACATGTAGATCAGAATGCGTTGAGACTGTCTTCGATCACGTTGAAACAATCAATAACGCCGCTTGCTGGGTTGTATCGAGATGCAATAGCAATATAAACCACAAAAAAGGAAAAAAGATAACACACAAAAGAAGATGGCTCGGTCATAAGTTCGTTAAGATCATGTATAGGGGATGCACACGGAAGAAAGGATTGCCAGTTGGTGTGACGGTGATATATGGCTTAATAACTGGTAGTATTCAAAGCGTCTTGATATTCACCGCAGCGTGGCTCGCTGTCATATTTTCTATTTCTGCCCTACTCATATGGCTGATTGAGATGTGCTGCTGCTGTTTTTGACTTCTTGTCAATAAATTCCAAGCCAATTGTTGATTCCATAAGGGGCCAAATTGAACAAGGGAACACGCTCCATGCGAGCGTAACCCCAGACGGATGGAGATACGAAGGGGAAGACTTCTTGACCTTGGTGAAGTCGCTAGAAAGCAAGATTAGGGTCGAGCTCCAAACATACGGCCTCGAGGTGAATATATCCATCTACCACCTTTTGATTACCAGTTCCCTGATTCTTGGAGGTGTTGGCATGTGTTGTGCGACACTGACAGAATGGTTCCAATCCTTAACCTGCATTATCCGACGAAACGCTTGCTTATTATCCCTGTCAATGGAGTTTTGACAATTCCAACCGGCGAAGAGACGACAGACACGCTTCCGATCGACTACTATTGTTTCATTGATGGCCAGCGCCTTCGGGAGAAAACATTGATATGGTGGTCGTCGTATATGAGGATTACACCACAACGCTAATTGACGGTAAATCATACTAGTTAGGCTCCAACAGGTTAATAGAACTTCGAATGATTGATCGATTGATTCACTTGGCGTTAATGCGTGTATTTTCACATTCTTGCGCAGGTACGAGTACCAGATCACATCGTGACGTATTGGAAAAGAGCGATCATGACGGTTAATCCATTTTGTTAGGAAGAATAGCCACTAGAAGCCCTGATGCCAGCGCAAACAATTCTGGAGCCAAGTAGGTCTGCTGGGAAGACAGTGTCGAGGGCAGTAGCGAGGGGGCGCTGAGCCACACCGGCTAGTAGATGAATGGGTTGCTCGCATTATATCATATGATCACAACTGAATTGAAATGAACAAGGCTTGCTTTCTGCCCTGCCCGTCCAAAACTCTCCGAAGTCTCCGAGCCTAGTCTCAGGGTACTCACTCAGCATCTATATCAACCATCACGAACCGCCACAACTCTAGTCACTTATCCAACGCCCAGATACAACCCCAAACCAGAATGAGCGACTTCACGGAAGCCAACCGCAAACACTTCGAGTAGAAACTCACATCCCCATACCACAACGAACACGCTAATCCTAACCGCCCCATAGCAAAGTCGCCTCCAACCACCAAACCGACTTCGGCGACCTCATCAACAGCATTATTGCCGAACTCAATACCCGCCGCGAATCAATCAGTGCTAAGCTAGTCGACACCGACCCAGTAGGCGAAGTCCGTCTTCTCGATTATGCCTGCGGCGCGGGGACAGTCTCCAAGGTACGAGCGTACCAAACCACCACAATTCCGAGTCTAATATATAGAAACGTAGGCTCTAGCGCCCTACACATCTTGTACAATTGGCCTGGACCTATCCGCAAACATGGTCGCCGAGTACAACAAGGCCGCCGCCGAAGCAGCGTTTGGACCTGATCGGATGAAAGGGTACCAACACGACGTCCTCTCCGCGCCGAGCACAACGTCCCTACCTAGCGGAGTCCTGGCGCCCTTTGACATAATAGTCACAAGCATGGCACTACACCATGTCGCCGATCCAGGCCGGCTACTGCGCGCGTTCAGCGAGCTGCTCAAGCCCGGCGGGGTGTGTGTTGTGGTTGACATGGTTCCTGGGTCTGCTGTTCATGAAGGCAATGAGGAGAGGTCTGAATCTGATATAAGAGAGGCCCTACAGCCGGAACAGCGTGAAGTATTCAATACAATTGGGAAGCATGGGTTTAATGAGGAGGAGATGAGGGCGCTGTATGCGGGAGCCGGGATGTGGACGGGGTTTGAGTATGTCGTGTTTGGCGAGCCATTCCGGTTTACAATGTTTGGGGAGAGGTTTAGGACAACAGGGTTTATTGCGAGGGGTGAGAAGAGTGCTGTATAGCTCTTTGGTACATTTTGTATCTTACCTCGCAGAGATTGATTGGGGAGATTGGAGAGAACGAAGTATGTAAAACACCCCGACGTCGGTAATTGACATCTCCTGGCCAGCTCTTCTCCATCTGTTCGTAGTGCTATGTGTAGCCAAAGAAAACACTGAACAACCTCAGCTGCCTTTTATCATAATGAATGCTATTCACAATCCAGCCACAAGGTTATAGAGAACTCAAATAACACTCTTCTTCCTCAACGACATCCCCCCAGCCCCAACAATAGAAAGCGCAAAAAGTGCCACAGCCAAATACCACGCTGAAACAAGCGCTTCATTATAAACCCTCTTCACAGCAGGCATATGCCCTCCATCAATAACAGAATCCAAATTCGTCGCGCCAATCTGCCGCACAATATCCGGACGCACGGCGGGCACCGTGTCCAGAATCCCGCTTCTCAGCCGATTTGCAAAAAGCGCTTGACTAACCGAGACAAAGATCGCTCCGCCAAAGGTCTGGCAAAAGGTCACGATCGCCGTCCCAATTGGGATGTCAGGCGCTGCAAGAGCAGCCTGCGCTGCGATGATGGGGAGCTGGATGCCCATTCCGACGCCGGAGCCAAGGAGGACTTGGTAGCCTATCCAGTTTGGATGGCCGGTGGTTACTTCGAAGGTAGTCATGAGGCCAGCGCCGACGACGGAGAGGATAGCAGCGAAGTAGAAGAATGGCTCGGGGCGCCCGGTGGCAGTGACGCCGCCACCTGTGACGAAAGAGAAGATCACCATGGAGAGCATGAGGGGGAGACACATTATGCCTGAGTTGACGGCGGAAGCGCCCTTGATAGCCTGGAACCAGATGGGGAGGTAGTAGACAATTGTGAAGTAGGCACCGGCGAACAGGACCATGAAGATAGAGGAGAATGCTATGGGGCGCATGCGGATGATCCGCGTGGGTATCATGGCGTTTTCCTGACGCTTAATTTGGATGATTAAGAAGATAATTACGAGGATGCCGGCGAGGACGAAGAGGGCGATGATGCGGCCGTTCGACCAGCTGTATGTCGTGCCCCCCCATTGGAGGGCGAGGAGCAGACAGACGATGGCGGGAAGGAAGGTGAGGATTCCAAGCGGATCCATGTGTTGGACCAAGGTTTTGGAGGAGGATGTTTCAGCTTCTACTGTCGTTGGTAGTTGGAGGAAGAAGAGGAGAATGAGAACGACCGCGGCGCCGATAGGAAGGTTTATGTAGAAGCTGCCGCCGCTTAGAGCTGCTCAAAATGTTGGTTTGGGTACTTACCACCATCTCCAGCTAACGTTGGACGTGAATGCACCACCGAGTAGGGGACCGATGATCGATGAGATACCGTATATGGATCCAAAGATTCCATTATCTGTAACAGCCATCAGTGCCCCGTGGTGGACCACGATCAGGACATATCTTACACATAGGACGCTTCCTCGGCTCAACAGAGTAAGCAACAATAACCATAGCCCCTTGGAAAATGCCCGATGCCCCAAGACCAGCAATTGCTCGGCCGATGATGAACGCATCGGAGGTAGGCGCCGCGCCACAGACGGCAGATCCGATTTCGAAGAGAAGTATTGCAGTTAGGAACACTAGCTTGACGGGGAAGTAGCCGTATAGCTTTCCAAACACGAGCTGGAACATACAAGTTGTAAGCAAGTAAGAGGATCCATACCAGCCGACGTCGCCGAGGGCTTTGAACTGGTCGGTGATCCGGGGGATCGCAGTGGCGATGATGGTGTTGTCCTACAGCAACTGTCAACCAGGATACTGCAGCCATAAGAAGAGACTTGGGGAAACGGACCAGCGCAACCAAAAATACTGCAAGACAAAGAACAGTGAAAACAGCCACCAGTCGGAGCCCAGTTAACTGGGCCTCCTGGATGACTGCGGGCACAGATGTATCTTGAACAACCTCCTTGCTGGGAAGGTTGTCGGGAACGGGACCATTGATGTCTTCGACAGACGACATCACGACTATTCGGTAGACAGAAAAAAAAACAAAGCAAAAAGCTGGTTAGATTGAGATACCGAGATATAGGCCCAACTCCCAGCTGGATGATTAGGGCTTTTGAGCCACTCAAGGCCAGAGTAGTTTGTCATATGGGGAGTCTAGATTAGCTGCACTCGCCCCTTTCAGACTCGCTAGTCTGAGAAGCTTTGAGCATGATGGCCCATTGTTTTGAGTACCTTGTGGCGTCGGTGCTTTGGCAAACAAAGTAACGCACCGAAGAACAGCCCCAATCGGAGCGCAAACTGCTCTTGTCCGGCGACATCTTGACAAGTCTCCGACAGGATCTACCACTGGCTTTGGTATACCTGACGTCTTACAGGAGGATAATTTATTTTCCAGCTAAAATCTGCTCTAGATTGTTCTCTAATGGCCAATGACTGCTATGTCCGCGGCGTACAGGTCAGTTTGATCTTAGGGTGCGTAATCCAATTGTCTAGATCGCGCTTCCACTCCTTCGAATTCCTGCCCTGGCTGTCCGCAAACCCCAGCTTGAATTCACGCACAAGGTGGACCAGAAAGATGCGAAGGATAAGGTCTGCAACGTACTTTCCCAAACACTGACGAGGCCCAAACCCAAACCGCCACATATGATATCGTAAATCAGACCCCTTGAGCTCTAGGAACCGGTCGGGCCGATAGTCATAGCGATCCATGCCCCAGAAGTCATTTTCAACATTCAATGCGTAGGCGTCAACGATAAAATTGGTTCCGCCTGGAATGACATAACCATCGAGAATGCGCTCAGTCGGGGCAGCTTGGGGCACTGAGAATGCGGCCAGCGGTTTGAGACGAGAGGATTCTAGAATACATGCGGCAAGATAGGTCGAACTTCTCTGGAGATATTTGGGGATCGCGGGTCCTTCTGTGTCCTGTGTGGCTTGGATAGTGGTATACAATTCATCCTGGACGCGTGGGTGGGCAGCGAGGAAAACAGGATTCCACGACAAGGCACCCATTGTAACATCAAGATTTGCGAAGAGCATCTCGTCAAGAGTCTGGTATACATTGTCGGCTGTGATCAGACCCCGGTCTGCCGCAGCAAACAGCTGATGAACTGGCGTTTCGGTACCCTTCAGGTCTATAGATCTGCGATAGGCACCTTGATTGAAGGCTATCCATCGCGATCGGAACTCCCGCAAGGCATGGTTTGCTTCTGTAGGTAGATACTGAGACCACGAGTATCGGGCTACTCCACCCTTGATAACGGACTGAAAAAGCCTTTCACGCAGAGGAGCCATTGCGCATAGTTCGTCTTCCATCACAGCAGTCATGGGCCCGTAAAGGACATCGCCGATGATAAGGAACGGGAGGAATTTGAGGTCCTCGACCGGATCTAAGACGCCCTGTTTCAGCGCTTGACACTGTCCAAGGTAACTGTTCACCCGAGTATGGATGAGGTCAATGTAATCGATCGCAGAGTTATGTCGAAACGCAAACTCGCTCACCCCTCGCAAAGTTCGCCAATCCTGCCCACTGATAAGCCCTAGACACTCCCCCAGGACCTGCCCCATGAGATACCCCGAATCATTATTTACTGCTTTGGAATGTCGATCAGAGTCGCGGAAGACTAGCTTGACGTGTTCGGGTTTCTGGAGAACACTGAAATCCACGTTAGTCTCGATGCGCCTCACAAAGCATACCACGTACACTTCTGGTTTTGTGCCTGCCCAGATGCGATAGATCTGGCCATGTTGTTTTGCCCATGAGGTCCGGTTCTCGATACCGTCCAGGAATTTGCCCTCATCTCCTTGTCCGTTGGGCCATCGGTATGGGCGGCCGGGGATCGATCGTCCTGTTTCGACGTGCTTGAAGGGATATTGCCGGGTTAGATATAGCTGTTATTAATGATGAGTACTGCACTAATTAAACTGGAGGAGAGTCAAACGTACGTTCAAGATTGTTGATATCAAATTAGTGAGGCTACCTGTCAGAATAGGCCTCAATACCCAGCACCACGCGGCGTATGTGATTGTGGATGCGAGTATGATGTAGATAGACTTGGTCTGTCCGGTCTGCAAGTGGTCCAGCCAGGTGGGAAAATTGATACTTGCTACAACGTCCATAGTTGTTGTCTCCATCTGCTGTGATTTGCTATATGGGAGCCTCCCTACTGTTATAATAATATTCATGGAAGTGATTGGAGGTATAGAGCTCCTCATAACCCCATTGCGGTGTCCGAAAAACGGGCCGGCTAACTACAATGGATAGGTCCCGCTGGAGTACCGGTTGTGAGGATTCTACGCCGGTTGCTAGTATGATATGATCAATACTGATTGGTTTTGACGGAGGTTTTATGCCGGCCGCCAATAAAATTGACCCCTTTCTCAATGCTCAACAAAGTTAAAGTACTCATGAAGACTTCTTGCTTGCCAAAACAACCTCCATATCCTCAGTGATCAACTGCTGCACAATGCCAGCCGCGACAGTGGCTCCTGACAGGATGAAACAAGTTAGTATTCCACAGTAAACACCAAGGAGAGGATATAAACGCACCACTGCCACATGCATTAGCAACAGCTTTCATAGGAGTGCCCGCGTCACCAGCAACAAAGACACCCTTGATATTGGTCGAGCCCAACGGATCGACTGTCTTGATACTTTCGCCCATGACGGGATTATCCTCAGTCTCGACCCCAAGTTTCGTGATCACATCCTTGCCAGCCAAGACGGTGTATGGCTTGTGTCCCAAATATCCCAGCTTGTACTCCTTTCCGCCTTCCACAACGACGGTAACGCCCACGTCAGGCTCGACGGCAGGGACCAAGCGGATGATCTTCCCAGTTTCAACATTGAAGTTCAGTGCCCTGACTTTTTCCAGCGCCGCCTGCATCGCCTCGTTATCCGGAACGGGGCCATCGCTGAAGACAGTCGCTGGGCCTGAGCTGGGGGTAACGAGGAGATTCAACATCTGTGCGAGATGGGCATACGCAGGGTTGGGGAAACCGAGCACACCACCTGGGAGATGGGACCTTTCATAGCCATCACAGAAGAAACACTGGAATCTACACACGACTCACATTAGCACCCCGCACAAGGCAGTGGGGGAAAAAGAGTCTCACATATTGTGAGGCCAGTTCTCACGGTATCCCTCGATATCCGGAAACACCTCGACAGACCCCATAGCCAGCGCCAACTTCCGCCCAGTCCAGCTGCGGCCATTTTCGGCAACAACCTCAAACGTCCCCGGGGCCCCATTTTCACCGGTCGTCTGTTGTATATCCACGATTTCCGCCTCGATGAAGTCCACGGTGCCGTAGTTCCTGATTTGCTTTGTTGCGACGCTGCGGAATTCTGCTGGTGGTGTCCGGTCGCGGGATATGACATTGTGCATTTCAGCGGCGCCCTCGTTCCTGAAGCCTGCACCGTTGGGCTTCGTGAAGATAGCGGCACGCCTGCGAACGCGGCTGAGGCCCAGGGCAATGGATAGGCCTGCTGGGCCGGATCCGAGAACCAAGGCATCGTATTGGGTTGCTGGGGCAGTCATTCTATAAGTTAGTGGATTTTCCAGTGTAGTATGTATGTTAACTAGATGTGGCTACAGCACAGATATTTTCGCGGATGTTCGATTCAAATAGAAACAGGTATGAAGCTGGTGAAAGTGCACTGAACGCGGGCATCTACCAGGCCCCCTGGGTTCTCATCCAGCGGTCCGTTTCAGATTGATCTCACCGGGCCGAAAGATCACATCACGAATCGGAGACTATGCGGAACTATACAAACAAACCAATGATACAGGTTTTCCTGGTGGAGAGACCTCTACTGCGCCGAGACCTCCCCCTGCTGGAGTCCGCGCTTTCTCCCCTGGACATTCAGCATCTCGCGTTGCTCCGGCGTCCACATGCACCCGATCTCATCACACAGCACATCTGTCGATTGCGACTGTTGCTCCTGGGAAGCAATGTCCTGCACTTCCTCCAATACTCGTAGAATATTCAGTCCTATAATTTTCTCAATCTGGCTCTCGGTCACCCCACGCTGTAGTAACTCTACCACAAGATCCGGAAACCGCGATACATCATCCAAGCCGCCTGGCCCTTCTAGCATGCCGTCAAAATCGGAGCCTATCCCTACATGGTCATACCCTATCTTTCCCGCGGCGTAGAGGATGTGATCGGCCACCTGGGCGAGTGTTGCTTTGCGGCCGCCGCTGGGGTCGACCAGGTCCCGCAGAAAACAGATCATGATCATCCCACCATTGTTTTGTAGCAAATGTAGCACTTCATCGGTGACATTTCGGGGATGCTCGACGAGTGTGGAACTATACGGGCCTGTCAGGAGCTATTCGTGGACTCAAATCGTACAGAATGCATACCAAGCAGAGTGGGAGAATATCACAGGAGCACTAGAGACCGCAAGCACGTCTCTCTGGGATGCATCACTGGTATGGGAAAGGTCGATTATCCTTCTCATTCACGAGGCTTAGTTCCTTATCCATGCCCGGTAAACAAGATACTTACATCCCGATGCGGTTCATCTCTCGAATGATGCGTTTACCGTCCGCACTGAGACCATGATGGAGCGCTGTATCTGTCTGATGTAGCGTGAGAAGCATTCAGGTGTCATATGGAAGGTAGGAACCCACCGCTGAATCGCAGTATCGATTACTCTTCGTATGTGAAAGCGTTGCATATCGTACCCCCAGCCTATGAAGAATTCGTAAAACACTCGGGCTATGCGCTATCTGATGAAGTCCTTCAATCCCGATTAGACTGGCAATACGTCCTGAGCGAAAGACCTTCCAGACGTCCGCGGCGCTCTCTGCTAGCCCGAAGACATGCGGATATTGATTGACTATGCGGTTAATTCCGTCAATCTGCTGCAGGGTCTGGCGGAGACACTCCAGGTCGGGATCAATGGAAATTGCTTCAGATGGCTTGGGGCTGGAGGGGAATTTGCACGGTCAGGATCCTGTCTATTCACCTCATGGATCTCGGATAAGAAGACGAACTTTGGAACATAAGCACTCCAGAACTGGCCTCCCACCAAACCCCGGCGTAGTCTAGTGATATCGGTCTGTCCAACAGGCAAGTCTTTCAGATTCTTGTTATCGACTGCATTGAGATAGAGCCCGCGGATTATAAATGGGAAGTCATTATGGCCATCTGCGTTGGATATCTTAGCTGGATGGCACCATGCAATACGAACAACTGTCTTACCGATGAGTGGTACTCTGCGCAGCAACTGCTCTGCTTGGAGGAGATATTGACTTGTACTCGAATAAGCACACATTTTGGTATTAGAGATCGAGCCTCAAGGAGTACGTCTACCAGGTACATTATGACAGGTTAGGATTTCTATTATAAAAGCTCCGGAATCCGTTATACGGACCGACACGGATACTATCACAGACCATCGCCTCGTGTCCAGATTCTAGAATGGATATGGTCGTGCCACCCCCACATACAGCGGTACACCGTAACAATCACGCTTCCAAGCCATTTGGGACAGTGCCCTTGTTCATTCGTGTTCACCTTGGTGAGGCTTGCCAGGATTCGAATCATTCTTCGCCAGAAGACCAGGAAAGACCAGGCGCCAAGCTGGGCTCGATATGTCAGCGCTGGGCGATAGACTGGTAGAGACCGCAGAAAGGATTGATATTGCTGAGGAAGATTGAACTCCTGGGCGCCGTCGATGATTAACCCCTGTGAAGTTCAGCTCATCCGGTCGCGTTATGTTACACTTGGTGGAAATTCCTTACCATATATCTTGCACTAGGCGCTCGGTTCGGCCGCCATGGGTATTTGGCCTTCAAGGTGTGTATCAGGATATCTGCTTGGTCCGGTGCTATGACTTTAGCATAGGCGGTGATCTCATCATATCCGACCCCGGCGCCTTCAGTTAGCACCAGGCGTCGATAGTCATCCGGTGTGAGCAGGTAGGCAACTCCATGAACTGGCGGAAGGGATTTAACTCCACCCTCTATCTGTTCATCCCTCAGCGGTGCTATACTGGCGAATGCGGGCTCTGCGTAGGGGATACCGAAAATATCGAAACAGAGGACATAGCTAGGTACGACGACAGCCTGCATGCTGATAGGTGTAATTCCACGGTTATTCATGACCGTGGACTTCATATTGGATCCGTAGGCAAAGTACCAGATGGCCTTGTCATGTTCGCCGGTCCTTAAGGCCGTTTGATGGGCTTGTGTGGACATAGTGGCGACGAACGGAGAGGGAGTATGTTTTGTTTGTAGTGAAACAGATGTTAAGTTTAGCCCTAATCCAACTCGAGGATTTTCCTTTTGTCTTTTTATGAAGGAGGGGTGCGGACGGCGTACGCCGGCTTCCTGAACATACAAGAGGCCGATGAACCCCGTACCGAATATATCACTTCATCGTCCGTACATTGGCTAATACGCGCTGGCTACTCATCATGCAGAACCTCGATACTTTATCTAACAGATCAAGGGCAACCCTTGCATCCCTTCAAGCATTTGGCTTTCAGACCACTCAGCCTGCGATACGCAGCGAGCCATCTAATCCAGACCCTATCGATGCCTCTGTCGCAGAGAGCTGGACTATTCGGCCGGAACTTGTTTCGCTCTTCCAAGACTCCATTCGAACAGATCTAGACGCACAGGTAAGGTACATGCCACCCCAGCAAACTTTCTAGCTAATCATTATAGCACCTGTCATATAGCGATAGCCACCTCGGAGACTCAAAGGTCATCCACGCATTGTCCAGCTTTTTCAATGGGTACTTCAGCCCTTTTCGACCGGTCGAGGATGGGCAAATCGCACTTGCCCCGGGTTCATCACGCTGCCTGGATGGTCTAATGCACCACCTCTGTGACCCCGGTGATGGAGTCCTCGTGCCGGCTCCATTTTGGAGTAAGGATATCAACAAGGTCGATTTAATCACCAAGGCTAACAGTGTCTCCAGATGGCTTCGACTTCCATCTTAGCATCCATGCGCAGGTCCACCCTGTTGTCGCACCTATCCACGACCTCTACAACGCCTCGAACGCAGACGCACTAATGGCATCTCTAACGGAGACATTCGATGCTACCCCACGTCGCATCCGTGCTCTACTACTCACCAATCCAGGCAATCCACTGGGCCAATGTTACACCGCGGAGACCTTCATCCGCTGTGCAAGATTCTGCCAGGACCGCGATATCCACCTCATCTGCGACGAAGTCTACGCGCTCTCCTATTTCGGAGGAAACGGGCCCGGTTCGACTCCATTCCGGTCCATTCTTAGCCTTGATCTTCAAGGGTTGCGGTGTGATGCCTCGCGCGTGCACGTCGTTTGGAGTGTAAGCAAGGATTTCGGATGTAATGGGATCCGTTTGGTACAACCTCCAGTCCGATTGCAATTATGAACATTAGATTAACCTGCGTGGCTAGGGCTGCGTCGTCTCGCAGGAGAATCCGGAGCTCATCCTCGCCCTGCGCTTACCGACGAGCACTGAGGTATCTTCACTTTCGGCGCTGTGCACAACTACCCTCCTGACGTGTGATAAACTGCCCCACCTTATCCAAATAAATAAAGAGAGGTTACTGCGGTCTTATAATGCCGTTGTCGGCATCCTCAAGGCAAAAGGCGTCGAGTACATACCAGCTACAGCGGGACTATGTGTGTTTGCTCGGTTGGCGCAAAATGCAAGAACATTGGACGACGAAGTGTGTTTCCAGAAACTACTACGGCAAAAGGGACTCATTGTGAGCCCTGGCCGGGCATATCATGTTGGGCCTGAGAATAAGGGCTGGTTTAGGTTCACATTCGCGTTGGAGGAGGGGCGGTTAAGGAGCGCATTGGAGATTTTGGGGGAATTTCTGGGGGATAATGAAGCTGGTCAATTGGCTTGAAAAGGGCCAGATCAGTATGTTTCATGAAATAGAGAGCGTCGGATCTCCGGCCCTATCTTTTGAGATTTCTTGCACGCCGTGGGCAGTACTGCAATACACAACCCGGACTTCGCTTCTCGAAACATACACTGTGCCAGTAGACCTTTTTGGCTTCAAGCCCAATAGGGATTCCGCCAGGCAATTTCCTCAGTGCAAGGCAATAATGGTAAGAGACAGCAGCCGATGCGGCCCGACTATGAATGGAGACTCGTAGATCCAGTTCGGTCCGATGTGCACCTCTTGTATGATATATGCCAGGCTCCATCCTAGCTGGCTCGTAACCTTATGTACTCTGTGGTAAAAGAACTACAAAATGGAAGCTACCCTCAACCACCTAGGAGCATCTCTCCAAGAGGCAGTAACGCAGCTCAAAGGCCGACTGAGCACGGAACGCCTAGCTGCCCTCCACGACCACAGCGAAGGAAAAATAGCAGATGCACATTTGGGAGAAGTGGCAGCTCGCACAATCGACCTGTTGCATCAGGCTGAACAGCTGCTTGAGCCGTCATCTTTGGTACTCGCAGATCATTTTCTCGGTGAGTGTGACAATCCAAGCTTCTAGAGAGAACCGTGGCTAAGTCGGGCTAGGATACCTCCATACAAAATGTCTCTGCGCGGCCGTCGAGTTCTGCATTCCTGATCATCTCGTCGGAGGACCGCGGTCTGCCACACAACTCGCTGAGTTGTCTGGAGCTAGAGAAGACAGACTACGACAGGTTCTTCGACTGCTCTATAACAATGGCATCTTTGAATACGAAGCAAACAGCGAGACATACAGGAACAATCCGACCTCCGACATGCTGAGAAGCGACCATTGGACCCAATGGCACAACTGGGTTAACCTATACGGAAACGAATTCTACGACATGGCGCGTGGAATCCCGGCGTCTCTAAGACAGGGTACGACGCGAACGCCAGCGCAAATCAACTTCAACACCGACGAGAATATGTTTGATTACTTTACGGCCCGTGGGTGGCTGCCACGCTTGCACCGGACATTGGGTGGCGGGGCTACAGCGCAGGCACCTGGGATCCTGGCCGACTATCCCTGGGAGGAGTTCGGAGACAAGACGTTTCTGGATATTGGTGGTGGGGAAGGGGCTCTGATTGCTCTTATTCTGCGAAGATATCCCTTAATTAAAGCCGCGTTGCTGGATACGCCGAAGGTGATTGAGCATGCGCGGTCACTGTTCCTGTCTGCCGATGGCAAGTATGCGGATGTCGGGGATCGCGTACAGGAAACAGGGCTGATAGCGGGCGACTTCCTTGAAAGCATTCCTAGTTTTGAACTTTACACTATGAAGTGGTGTCTGCATGATTGGAACGATGAGAAGACAGCGAAGGTGCTTGGGAACATTCGTAAGAGTATCCGGATGACGCCCGAGAGCCGGTTGGTGGTGATAGAGTCGATCCTGGCCGATGGCCGGAGTAGTCGGCTGTCTCGCTATGCAGACCTGACTATGATGGTCAGCGCTGATGGACAGGAGCGCACAGAATCCGAGTGGCGCGCGCTTGCTGACCGGACCGGGTGGGAGATTCGGACGATTCGGACCCTGCGAGGGGCCTGGCCGTGTGCTATTGAGATGAGGCCAGTGTAGGTAGCAATATAAGTAGTTCAGATAGCTCAATGCTATCAACCAATTCTAGACTCATGCCCATCATGGACCCCAAATCGCACCAAGTCTCTGTCCCCGTCATTAAGGGCGACGTGGGCTACGACGGGCGAGTAATCCTCTACGTTATCAAAGGTTAGCGGACACCCCTCGCTAGTATGGCAATAAATACTGACCACGCAGCCGATGAGACATCCTACATAAACTACATCAAACCGCTGATCCTGGCGCGAGAACTGAAGATCCCGCATCTCCTCTCGGTAATCGATACGAAAGACGAATGGTTCTACCGTATCCACCCGGAGCGCATGGTTCCCTCACTCAAGGACCTGGATCCAGAGACAAACAGAGAAGTGAATGTGTTTGAGAGCACGGCTTGTCTCCAGTACCTTGCGGACCGATTCGACCACATCGGGACGTGGGCCGGACGGAATGCAGCAGAAAAGGGAGCAGTGCTTTCATGGACGGCCTATCAGACTGCTTCACTAGGGTAAGCGAGCGGACATCTCTAGCAGTCCGTTCGTCCACGGCTAACTCGGATTATGTGTAGACCGACTGCGAAATACTGGCTATATTTCCTCCGGGGATATCCAACGCGCCACAAGCCCGTCCAGCTGCCCCGGACAATAGAAAAGTATGGATGGATTCCCAAGCGTAGAAAAGGTTGGACTAACGATTATAGACTGCATTCGAATTGTCTTCGGCAATGGGATATCCTGGAGAAAAGGCTTTCCCTTGAAGGACAGGACTACATCGCCCTTCCGGACCGCCCTACGCTCGCTGACCTGTCATACTTCCCCTTTGCGATGCCGTGGATGTTCCAGTTTCTGGGTGTGGATATCAAAGACTGGCCCAGTATTGATCGTTGGAGCCAATCGATGCTGAACCGGCCAGCCGTGAAGGCCGTTATGGAGATGGGACCGAAGATCGGACATTGAATAGTTTCATTCTAGTGTAATGAGGAATAACACTATTAACAGTACCCGGCCCGGACGGAGTTTTCACACCAGCCACGGTCAGCTATCAAATAAAAATATTAGCAATTACTAGTTACATACCTAGTACTTCATCGTAGTCGATAGTGTCAAATTCAGACCTACACACATCTATTGTTTTCCGCTGTACTGACACCGCCGCCATGTCCCTCGACGCGGTAGACTTGAATGCACCGTGGACCAAGAACTACTCCCTTCTCACACTTGTGTTGGGACTCGGAGCGGTTCTTTTCCTGTTCGCTCGCTTTCAGAAGCAATATTTGAACTTGCCCAGGTTTGAGGTGACATCGGATGTGCTGAAGACGATCGAGGAAGCGCATGCTCAGGTGCGAAAGCTTGGTAGCATTGGTCCTAACAATAACTGACCTTTGAGAAGTATCCCGAGGACCCATTCATCCTCTCCATGGTGGGCATGGAGCTCGTCATCCTACCTCGGTCCGGCATAGACGTAATCAAAGCTCTACCAGAGAACCATGTCTCCATAAAGTATACACCCTTAGCTCCGAGCGCAGACACTGAGCTAATCACCTAATCCCAAGGAAACACCACCACGACGTCTTTCTCGGCGAATACACATACATGGGCACAAAGTCTCCCGAATTCGACGAAGCAATGCGCTATGACCTAACCCGAAACACACCAACCGTGCTCTCCTCGTTCGTCTCAGAAGTGCAATATGCCGTGGAAGACAGCTTCGGACGACCGCAGGACTGGACGGCATTCCAGCCCCGCGCCTGCATGTCGAAGATCGCATCGCTAATGTCTGGGCGCGCCTTTGTCGGACTACCACTCAGTCGCAACGAGACATGGGTCCAGGCCACCGTAACATACACGCAGGATGTCACTCGCGCGTGGCTCGTCTTGCGGACGATTCCTTGGATAGCAAGGCCGTTCATTGCGCCGTTTCTCCCGCAAGTCAAATCGTTGAAGAATCAGCGTCGGATGACTGAGGAGCGCCTGAAACCGTTGCTGGATCTGCCTGATGAGCAAGTGAATGGTGATGCTCCTGGCGGGGATATGTTGCGCTGGTTCCGGAAGAGATATTCAACGGCTCCCACGACGAGACAACTGGCAAGAGATCAGCTGCTAGCCACCTTTGCTTCGATATATAATTTGTCCAATGCGCTGTCTTATTTGCTGTTCGATCTAGCCACATACCCAGAGCACATTGAGCCGCTGCGAGAGGAGCTGCAGGAAGTACTGAAGGGCGAGCCAATCAATAAGGAGAATATTCAGAAGCTGAAAAAGCTAGACAGCTTTATCCGCGAGTCACAACGACTGAGCCCGCCTTCCCTTGGTAAGCCCATTTTTCACGAAGCAAGATATAATTACTAATAGTATCAGCAAACATGCCTCGGATCGTCACTAATCCGCGCGGCCTCAAGCTTCCCAGCGGTCACACAATCCCCCAGGGCATGCGTGTTATGGTCCGAGCACATACGCTGAACCTAGACCATACGCTGTGGCCCAGCCCGACTGTTTTCGACGGGTTTCGCTTCTCGAAGCTCCGTGAACTTCCGGGGAATGCCTTCAAGTACCAGCATGCAACCACGGGCACGGACAATATCAACTTCGGACACGGACTGTGGGCTTGTCCGGGGCGACACTTTGCGAGTAGTCAGATGAAAGTCGTTTTATCGCACTTGTTGCTGAACTATGATATCAAGTTACCGGAGGGGGTGAACAAGCCTAAACAGCAGCATTTTGGGTTGGCTATTGTGCCGGATACAGAGAAGATGGTCTTACTGAGGCTGAGGGAGTAGGGTGGGATATGTGTTGGAAAGTATAGGAACAAATAGGAAAATGAGTTTGGCTAGAAGAATAACCGTATATACGTAGTTACAGAACTATTGTTTTACTGGACAAGAATTAGAACTAAATTTGGTCTCGCTGCAAACTAGGACGGCTGGTATTCTACTTGTCCGGCAATATCTAGTCAATATTTGCGTACCTTATGACCAGGTTAATGCCACTCTTTCGCATTGGAGCAGACGCATCCTGCACGCAAGCCACCGGCAACCGAGCCAACCAGGGGTTAAATTGTCGAGCCGCGACTGAAACAAAACTCAAGAACGGGGTCCGGCCTGTTGACTTCTGTCCTCGACTTAATCGGCATTGATAGCTGCGAGATGTGGACTCGGTCTTTAAAGGATCCCTTCGGATTGCAGTAGATGGAGTGGATTCAAGCAAGGTGTGTACCTACTTAATCTATCGGGCCGAAGCCATAGTAGAGTGCCTTTGCTGACATGCTCTCCAGTGCCCAGTCTGTGTCCTGTACCTTTGGAGCACTAAACAGTGTCCTGCAGACTGCCACACTCGGAGCATATAGACAGGACTATATATCACATTCATTGCCCTAGCGTCCATTGAACCACACCATCTTTTAACCCGCTCAACATTGAGCCGCCTATTCAGGACAATGCAATCCAAGATCCGAGATGAACTCGCCCGCGAACTCAAGATCCCAAGTGCAGAGCTGGATGGCTCTCTGTGCTTCACTGCCCTCGGTGGCCACTCGCTGTCCGCACTGCACCTGGTATCTATTTTCAAACGGATAGGGGTTTCCCTGACAGTTGGCGAACTGTTACAGAATACACCAATAAACGATGTCCTCTCTCGGGCTCTTCCTGTCTACCGTCAAGCCAATGATCAATCCGATAACCAACCGACCTCAGGAAGTACAGACCTCAGCCACTCAGACATTGACATGGCCATCAGCACAACGCCATCTCCATCCCTTTCTACCCCTTCTGTCCGGTGTCTGGCACCTGAAACCGTCGCCACCATTGAGTCGCTACGCGAACGGAGCATCCAGATCCCAGAAATGCAGCTCACTCTCATACAAGGCACATACGCCAAACCGGGGAATAACATCATAGCCTACCACTGCATGTGCCCTCTAGAGGAGCTACACGCCACGCAAGCCGCCTGGCAGCAAGTGATCGAAGCAGAAGAGATTTTTCGCAAAGACTTACGGATCGAAGACGGCAACGGCCACCTCGTTGACACTGAAAACACTCCTTATCGATGGAGACGAGCTGAAGTCGCGGACCGCGATGCGTTGGACGATGAGCTCCGGAAGCCTCCAAGTTTTCGTGATGTTGGATTCGAGTTCCGGATCATCACGATGGCTGGTGACGATCCCATAGCTTGTATTCTGTGGCACGTACACCACGCGTTCATCGACGGGTTCTCGATGCAGATAATCCTGGATAAGGTCTCGCGTGTTCTCGCTGGTCAGCCTATATACCCAGGGCCCTCGTTCGTCACAGTTGCATCGGAACGAAATGCGTTGATCGAGGAACGCAAGGCTGAGGCCATAGAATACTGGGACTCACAGAAAGAAGTCCTTGACATGGCAGGTGGTGAGACGCGCTTGCCTCGTTCCGCGGGTGCGGATCTATCCAAGAATTTCTGGAATCATGTGGCCACATTCACCCTGAATATACCACAAAGCCAACTGGGTGACTATGCCCATCGCCACCATGTCACCGTCGCTTCTATATATTATGCAGCGTGGGCTCTCGTCCTCTCCATCATCTGTGATTCTGATGTCGTTCGAATGGGGGTGGTAATGTCGGGCAGATCGCTGCCTGTCTCCGACATCCTAGATGTTGTTGGGAGCTTGGTCAACACCTTGCCCCTGGGCATTGTAGTCCGCAAGGACGTAAATACTGTTGCGTTTATCTGCAAAGTGTTCCAGCAACTTCTCGAGCTCTCAACCTTCGACTGGAGCATTCCCGAGCATGGCTACCGTCGCCAGTTTTCCTCGGTTTTAGCCATGCAACTTGACGTCGCAGGCAGGACTACACACCCATCGTCGATGACCTCGCCGTCATCACGTATGAATAGCGACATTCCCTTGAGTATTACCGTCGAGGCAGACGGGACGATCCATGTCCAGTTCTCTCACGAGTACGACTCGGAACATATTAATCTCCTGGGCACCTATTTCACTAGGACAATCGAGTGCCTGATGAGACCAGCTCATACCATATCAATGTGCCTTGAGAATATCCTCTCGCTAGCTGATCGACAAACGCTGCTTTCCTATGGAAACTGTCTTTCAGGGCTCACGACAGAAAGTTCCGTCCACGATAACCTCGTGGTCCTGATGAAACATGCGGCAGCCAAACATCCAGAGTCTTGCGCGGCCAACCAAGGAGCGCAGAAGATGTCCTATCGCGAGCTTGATCAGTGGAGCGACTCCGTAGCTACTCATCTAGGCGTGTATGTCAGACAAGGAGATGTCGTTTGCGTGCACGCAAATCCATCAATCTACTGGCTTGTCGCGATTTACGGAATCCTGAAGGCGGGCGCAGTCTACTGCCCATTGAACACCAACCTCAATCCTGGACTTAGGAATAGCATGTTCAAGTCATCCGGTGCTGCGGTCTACCTAACGCCCCTGTGCAGTGAGATTAGGTACCGACCCAAGGGCAATCGATATGCATGGGCTGTGGAAGATCTGCTGCAGCGACAGAATGAGCAGGAGCCGGATGAATTTCCGCATGTCATGTTCCCCGAGGCTAATGCATACCTGTGTTTTACGTCCGGTTCAACAGGGAAGCCTAAGGGGGTGCTATGCACGCACCAGGGATTGGTTGCCTTCCAGAAGGACCTGGAGGTCCGTCTACACGCACAACCGGGGCGGAAGATTGCGCAAATAATGTCTGTGTCTTTTGATGGGAGCATCCATGAAGTATTCTCCGCCTTGAGCTACGGAGCTACTCTGGCCCTCCCGGACGCCAACGACCCCTTTGCCCATCTCCATGAAGTTGACACCTGCATCTTTACGCCTTCGTTAGCCGCGAGGTTGGACCCTACGGACTACCCCAATCTTTCGAATGTGAGTATTCCTTTGTGGCAGTGCTTAGTTTGCGAACCTGCTCAGCCCAGATTCTAGGTATATCTCGTCGGCGAGCAGGTCCCGCAGGATGTTAACGACCGCTGGGCGGCAAGAGTATCCCTATACAACATGTATGGCCCAACAGAAGCAACATGCGGTGCGACAATCAAACGCCTACTCCCAGGACATAAAGTGACCATCGGTCGTCCCAATCCTACAACACGGATCTACATCCTCGATCGCAACCGCCACCTCGCACCACAAGGCGTAATGGGTCAGATCTACCTCGCAGGTGTACAGGTGTCAAACGGATATATCAACGAGCCGGATCTAACCAAGAAGCGCTTCTTTCCAGATTCTATTTGCCGTGGACTGGGAGAACGAATGTACGCCACGGGGGATATCGGATACTGGAATGAAGATGGCGAGCTCGTCTGTCTTGGAAGGAATGATCGACAGACGAAACTACGGGGCTTTCGGCTGGATCTGGATGACCTTGAAGCACGCATCGCTGGACTACCCGACGTCGCAGCCGTAGCTATAGCCCGATACGAGGATGATCTTGTCGCCTTAGTTCAGCCGGCGACAGTCTGTGTGGCGGAGTGCAGGAAGCATATATCGACTGTTCTTCCTGTCCATGCTATACCGCGATACATCATTCCTGTATCCCAATTTCCCATGACACCTGTCGGCAAGCTTGACTATAAAGCTATCGTGCAGAATGTGGACGTGAGGAGGATGTCGAGGCTATCAAACGAGATGAACACGACAGAACGGAAGACCACCAGTATCTGGGCTGATATCCTGGCTGTTAAGGAAATTGAAATAACCCCCGAGACAGGTTTTCTAGCAATGGGTGGTCATTCGTTGCTACAACTGCGACTAGCCAGTCGTCTCAGCAAAGCATTCAATATTTCCGTCCCTCTCACAACGATAATCGAAGCCGCTACACTTCGGGACCTATCTGTTGAGATAGATAAGTTGCGAGAACGAGAGTGTCGGGGGGCGGTGCACGTGTCTAGCGAGTTGGACGAAGGCGCTGTCTCGCGAATGGAGGCTGAGTGGATTTCCAAGTACGCCTGTAGCGAGAGTACGACCTCATTCAACGTGTCTTTTGCCTGTCAATTGAGCGCCTCTGTTGATGTGGACCGCTTGAGGGAGGCTTGGAATGCTGTCATAGCAGCTCATGACATCCTCAGATCCCGATATACTGTCTGCGGAGGACAGCCTAGGCGTGTATATTCGGATCGAGCACCGGTTGTGCGAACAGTGGACAATTATGACATCCTGAAGGAGATAAACCGGCCTTTCAACATCTTTGAGGAGGACATTATCCGTGTCATCATGTCGCCCAATATGCTGCTTATCACTGTCAGCCATATCGTCTGCGACCTCACGACAATGCAGGTGCTACTCAACGAAGCACAACGCGTCTACCAAGGCGCCACCCCCAGGAGCGGCACTCCGTCATACATGGCAGCTGATGCCTGGTATCGAGTCGCGCCAGACGGCGACTTGGCATTCTGGACAACATACCTTCGAGGCGCGCCACGCCCAACAAGGAAGCGAGCCAGCTATGCAGGAACCTCGCGCGTTAGTATACTTCCACAAGAAACAGCTTTCGCGATGAATGCCTTCATAAAGGCTTCGCCATTCAGCCACCATCAAGTTGCCCTTGCTGCAGTATCCCTCGCTCTCCACACCCAGCAAGGTCACATAGATACTCTCCTCGGCGGCCCATTTCTTAACCGCTGGTCCGAGAATGACATGAACACTATCGGATTATTCCTGGAACCACTCCCCTTCCGCATCCAGTTCGACCTTACGACCGTCCCCGATGCGGACGCATATGCATTCCTGCGATCTATACAATGTTCGAGTCAGGCCGCTATATCACATGCTGTCCCCTGGCAAGAACTGCTGTGTCACTTGAATATCACGCCAGGGTTTCCGAATCACCCGCTCTTTGAGATGATGGTGACATTTCACAACAGGGCGAATGGGCTCACATTTGATGTTGATGGGGCTGCTCCGTTGTATACCTGGTCTGAGGGATCTAAGTTTGGTCTCATGTGCGAGTTTACAGAATTGTCTGACGGGGAGATCTTGCTCCGGTTGGAATATGATGAGAGTTTATATCCACATACGGCGATCTGTATGATTGAAAGAAAGATTGTACTTACTATGGAACTCTTGGCAAGGAATGCCTTTTATACTGAGATGATGCGCCGGTTGCACGAAGTCGAAATGGAGACATCTAACCCACAGTCTAAGGATCCAGCAGACATGTTTCTATCGCCAGTGAGGCGCCCATGAGGAATGCTATTGTCTTTTTCATCCTAGATACCTACACATAACAAAAACACAATATACGAAACGAGTTATCGAGGCCACATCCTCTCGCTACTCTCAACCGCAGAAATAAGACTCCGTAACCGCTGCTTCAAATCTTGGAGCCACCTATCTACCGCCGCACTCGCAGGGTCAGGGCCAACAGAGCGGGTTTGCAGAGGCATAGAAAGCGATTGCACCATCCGTAGACTGCGATGTAGCTCGGTGGATATAATCTGGGCGCCCAAAGCCGCCTGTTCCTGGGGATCAAGTAGAAAGGAACCGAACCCGATTCCTGGCGCAGCGGCCAGCCCATTAGAGCATCCTGCTGAGCTGCCATGGAATCGTCTCTGTGCATTCCCAAACGATGCAGAATTTTGTTGTGCATTGTCCGTTCTGGAAGACATTGACCATCTGCTGCGGCTGGGAGGGGAGTATACCTCGCCGCATGCGCTTTCGAAAAGGCAGACAACGTGATGAGCAGCCGCGACCACGACTATTGAGCCTCCGAGGCTATTAATATAGTCGGCACGACTAGTAAGTTCCGTTATCCCTTGCGTGGCTTCTTTGTTGATTCGAAGGACTTCGTCGATTGCTGACAAGCCTGCGCATATCTTGCACTCCAGCTTCTCAAGAATTTCGGCTGCGGCGACGACGACCCCTTTGGCATCCTGTGCATGGCAGCCAGCGCGGAATGGAAACTGGGCTTTCGGAGATATCTGACTATATGGAAAGGTCGGCAGAGCCTGTGTGGATGAGGTGTTTAATCCGTGTATTGCTACCTTCTTGGTCTCGACTCTTCGTGGCGCCTGCGTTGGAGAGATGGTGGGAACGTCCGACATGTCAATGGCTGAGTCTAGCCGGCGAGGCTCAGGTGCACTCTTGTCCTCCGTGTTCTTCCAGCTAGGTCTGAGTGCATTGTCGTCGTCAGGATAGTCCAAGAAGAAATCCATGGTAGGAAGCTCAGGCATGTTTTCCAGGAGATGTTGAGACGCGTCCCACGGGTCCTGATGGAGGAAGTCTGCATCAGCATTGCTATTTGCCGGAGACAGCACAGGCTCGCCCGCGGAGTCTCCAGTGGTGTTCGATATGTCTTCACCCGGGGATGCGACGGCGATAGCCCTAGTCATTTTCTCATACTCTCCCCGAATCCCTGGACTGAGCATCTGTCTTTTCCGTCTTCCCTTCGTCTTTCCAACCTGGGACTCGAGGTAAATGCACTCATGGCCCAGTGTGCGACACCGCGTGCAGCCTGCCTTCTCGCCGCTACACCGGACCTTGGCCGCATGGCAGCTTGTGCAGGCCGCCCGCAAACGACCGGATTTCCCTTCTCGCTGCTCACTGGGAATTCTGAAATTTAGGACTCCAGATTAGATCATGCAGGGACGTCGATCAGTAGGAAAATTAATACAAGGCACCTACCTCGTAGCTTCGTCCAACATCGTCGTGTCTGTTGTCTAAGCATCCCAACCTTGATCAGGAACAACAGAATGACGACAATCCTCTCAAAAAAGGGTCAGTCCTTGACGATACGAGCTCTCCCCTTTCTTGAGTACCTTGGAGCTTGTTGAAGTTTACATGGGTACGAATTGGCCCCCATTTCTACCTGCTGAAGCGAGATAGCCACGAGAATAATCGAATTGGAGTCCTTGGATATGAGAACGCCGGATGGTTCTTTTGGGCGCAGCCATACAACCTTCTTCAGAAACCCTCCATATATATACCCATCTCCAGTCGAGAGATACTTAGCAAAGATACATCCATGAAGGGGCTATCACCAGTCGGATAATTATGAAAGCTAAGCTGGGATCTGGGGCCTTCAGCGCCTGAAGTGCCCTGACCCTTTGCACGGCTCCCGGGGTACTCACCGGGTCAAACTCACCACTCGACTAATATATTCCACCTTTTACGAAGTGTAGTCCACTTGGTCCATGTGGTTTACCTCTTGTCTACCATTTCAGTGGCAACGTGGCGCAAATTCTGTGCGTTTAGCTTGGTATGTTCATTTCAACTACATGTATCCCCTAGCTCACACTCATTACCCCACGGAGCTGAGCAGTGAGATTGTCCTTCCCCCAGTCCTGCATGGCTTAAGCCTCCAGGTCTCCCTCCACTTTCCACTTTCGGATCTTTTCCACAACCGTGTTCGCCGCGCCCTTCGCGAGCTGCGAGTAATCCCTCTCAATCTCCTGTGCTCGGTTACTCCCCGGTACCACATCTGGCACATGGAGCTCGTAGATCGCCGTCAGGTACAGCGTGTGCGGCTCGTCCCTCTCATGCCCGCCGCGGGAGATAACCATGGTGCTCTTCGCGCCGGAGTCCACAGTCGTCGCTTCGGTCTGTTCAACCACACAGATATTAGCACACTATGACTGGTAATCACAGGGTCCCATGCTTACGAGTAGGTTGTCCGCATTCCGTACATCTTGCACCAGCTCTACGCCCCTGGCTGTGTGCACGGCGCCATCGGCCATGAAGAGTCTCCGCTGGAATTCGTTCTCGGACCTGCGGTTTGGCAGAATCTCGGTGCCCGCCACGTATTCCGCGAAGAGGTGAGGCTTCTCACCTCCGCGGCGGAGACCACGCCAGAACTCTTCGAGAGTCACGATCGGGCCGGAGGCGTCGTTGTTCACGGGTACCGTATAGGCGACGTTTAAGGTGAATTCGGTTGGGGTGGCCATTGTGGATTGGCTGTCTGGTGTAGTCTGTAATTGTGTTATGTTGTCACTGTCGCTTATCATAAACGTGCTCCGCATATATATAAGGAGGGGTGGATAGTAGCATTTACTACCGGACCGATGTGGACAGACTCGGCCCCCGGACGAGTCTTTACAATTTCATCACCATGATCGTAATATATGTTGCTAGAGCATTTGACTGCTAGATTACCATCAGAGTGTTGGCGTTGGCTTTTCACTGCTATTGAGCACTAATATCCCAACAATGACCACACTACGCCACCCAGACCCAGGCCTCTCTAGGCAATTGTTAGCCCGACTGAGTGAGCAATGGCAAGAGGTTTCCCTGTTGAGCACGGCCAAATGTGCTGTCTTGCTTTTGGTAATACGAGTGAGTCAATTAGATATTGCCAGTTCGATACACGTTATATTGACTATTCGTAGTGGATTGCCGTCGTCGTGTATCGCCTGCACGTCCATCCACTCGCCAAATACCCCGGCCCCTTCCTCTGGCGGATCAGCATTCTCCCCAGTTTGTATTATGCATGGACAGGAGATCGACATCTGGTGGTCGATAAACTCCACAAGAAATATGGTACTAGGACCTCGAATACTATGAGTGATCAACTATTAACAGACGTTCAGGCAAGGTACTGCGACTCGAGCCAAATCTCGTCTCAATCTGCACCCCAAGCGCAGTACAGAGTAGGAATATCAACCACACATTATCTCGACAGACGTGCTAATAGCTATAACAGCCATGTATGGCCCAGGGACCAAATTCGAAAAGGCTATGTTTTACACCCGAGGACCCAAAGAGAAGCAGCTGCTCGTGGTATGTATCCATCCACCTGCAAAGGCCTTGGAGCTAACGATTGCAGAATTTAGCGAGTACAACCGACAAGACTGTCCATGCGCGGAAACGCCGGATCATCTCCCACGCCATGAGCGAGGCTTCCATTCGATCTTACGAGCCTGTCATTATCGACAAAATCCAGCTGTTCTGCAAACAGCTCAGCGATCCCGATACCTTTGGCGGTCCGTACAAGAATATGTCTCGGTGGTTCTCGTATCTCACGTACGACATCATGGGCCAACTTACCTTCAGTCAGAGCTACGACATGTTGACCAAGGACGACCACCATTTTATACAACCTTTGATTGACTCCTACCAACACAGCCAGGTGATTGTATGTAACCTGTAAGCTTCTGTAACATGCACAAGCTAACTTAGTATAGCTAGGGACAGAGCCGAAGCTGGATCAATGGGGGCTGGCGCCGCTATTCTTGCTTCGGATCATGGCTGAGAACAAGAAATTCATGAAGTATGTGCAAGACCAGGTGAACAATCGTATTGCGCTCGAGAAGGCTGGTCGAGGGCCTTCTGATATCTTCAAGCTGCTGCTGGGCTACAAGGACAAGGAAACCGGGGAAAGCATGGGATTCAAGGAGCTTTCCGATGAAGCAGTCGTGCTGATTATCGCTGGTGCGCCCTTATCTTTCGTAACTCGTCCACACGGTGTTTATTTCGAGAACTGACGTGAAGCAGCCAGCGACACTACTGGAACCGCCCTCTCTGGTCTATACTTTTACCTAGCCCGGTACCCTGAATGCTACAGAAAGCTCGCGCAAGAGATCCGCTCTCAATTCACCCACACTGACGAGATTGTCGGCGGACCCAAACTCCTGTCCTGCAAATACCTCCGCGCTTGTGTCGAAGAAGCCCTCCGCATGTCCCCCGGCGTTCCAGGATTTCTCACCCGAGAAGCGCCGCAAGGCGCCTCAATCGATGGCCACTACTTTGCACCGAATGTGCAAGTCGCGATCCCCACTTGGACCATCCATCGCGATTCAGAGGTGTATCCGGATCCGCAGACTTTCAAGCCGGAGCGGTGGATGGTGGACTCGGATGTTGAGTTGCAGCGGCTACGCTCTTGTTACTATCCTTTTAGTATGGGGACGCGCGGGTGCATTGGCAAGAACATGGCGTATCACACCATCTACCTGGCTGTTGCGCGGCTAGTCTTTCTGTTTAACATGGAGGTGAGAGATGAACTGCCTCTGGAGTTCCACGTCAAGGATCATTTTGCTGCTGGGAGTAAGGATGGGCCGTATCTGAAATTTACACCTCGAAGCGAGAAGTAGGCTTGGAGGCAGGACTAAGTAAAGATAGAGGAGAATCAATAACTTAGGGTTTGAATGTTAGGAGATACGTACACCTAAATCCGCATTTCCACATGCTCGCATGCCGTAGGTGTATTCTGACACTAATACTAATGGCCTGAGTGGCTGGGACACTCGCATCTCGATTGTCTCCTAAAGTACCTAAAGTACCTACTCGGCCCGATGTGGTTTTGTATGACTTCGATCGGTCCGCTAGGCCTTGGCCTTGCCCCCAGGGTGCTCACTGACAGACCCTGTATATTTTATCGCTATTTGGCTGCGAACGGCGAAGATCATACCTTTTTCGAATCAGGACCCACTGAAGCAGAAGTGATACGAGGAAAATTAGAGGCCAGGAGTGTGGTTGTCTGGACCTCACCATGTCGTCCTCACCTTTATCCGAAAAGCAGCCCCAAGCTACAGCAGGTGCGAGTTTAGGCCAATCCAGAGACTCTGCCAGGGACCAATTGAATGAAAAATCACCTGGCGTTGTCCGCATTGAGGCCATTGCTAGCCATCTCACCTCGATTACTCGCACGATCCTGTTCGTCAGTATCTTCTTTCTGGGATATTCGTTTGGGCTGGATGCCGTGCTGCGCGGCGTGTATCAGACCTACGCCACCGCGAGCTATGGCAATCATTCTTTACTCTCAACGGTGAATGTCATTCGCACCGTGTTTGCCGCTGCGGCCCAGCCGACAACCGGAAAACTTGCGGACGCCTTTGGTCGCATCGAGATGCTAGGCTTGTCAATCGTCTTTTATGTCGTGGGAACGATTGTTGAAGCCAGCTCGACGGGCCTAGCTGCGTTTTGCGCCGGTGCTGTACTCTACACTCTGGGATTCACCATCGTTCAGACATTGGTGGACATCATCATCGCAGACGTTACATCCACACGCGTTCGACTGCTCGCCACGTACGTCCCGAACCTGCACTTTGTCATCACGGCCTGGGTGTCCGGGAACATCTCATCGGCTGTCCTGGGCGGCACTACCTGGAGATGGGGAGTAGGCATGTGGTGCATCATCTTCACCGTGCTGGTGGCTCCTGTCGTCGTTACTCTGGTGTTCGTCCATAACCGCGCCAGTAGCAGCACCGCAAACCCCCGAGCAACACGATGGGTGTCCCTGGGCCAGCTATTTTGGCAACTCGATGTTCCCGGAGTCATCCTTCTAATCGCCTCCCTGGCCTTAGTTCTGACACCGCTGACCATCGCCGGGGGAGAAAGCCTGAAGTGGCGCACAGCACATGTCATCGCACCCCTAGTCATAGGATTCTGCTGCATCCCCATCTTCATCATTTGGCAGCTTAGAGCACCGCATCCACTGATCCCATTCCGACTCCTCAAAGACCGAGGCGTCTGGGGTGCTCTGGCCATCGCAACCTTCATGAACTTCGCCTACATGATGCAAGCAAGTTTCCTCTACACCTTGTTGATCGTGGCCTTTGACTTCTCCATCACAACTGCAACGAGAATCACAACTCTGTACATGTTCACCTCCTTTGTAGTGGGCCCCATCTGCGGCCTCCTGGTCTACCGTTTCCGGCGGCTCAAATACTTCATCGTCAGTGGGACGGTCCTCTTCCTCGTTGGCTTCGGTCTCCTCATTAGATACCGCAGTGGCGCAGGCACATCCTCCCGTGCAGGCGTCATAGCTGCACAGGTCCTTCTCGGTGTCGCCGGCGGGCTAACACCATATGCGGCGCTCGCATCGCTACAAGTATCTCTCAAACACGAAGTACTCGGCGTCATGATTGGTCTGTTCCTAGCCTGTCATAGTATTGGAGATGCACTGGGAAACAGTGTGGCCGGTGCCATTTGGACACAGGTTCTCCCACTAACGCTCGCTTCGAATCTGGCTTTCCAGGAGGACTCAACCCTTGGGTCACAAGTTTACGGGAACCCATTTGCTATCGTTGCGCAGTACCCGATGGGCACCGAGATACGTACGGCGATTATTGATAGCTATCAACATGTGCAACGGTATCTGTGCATTACGGGGTTCTGTTTGTCTATTCCGTTGGTTGCGTTTGCGTTTTGTCTACGTAATCCAGTACTGGATAAGAGCCAGAGTCTTGTAGAGAGGAAGGAGTTGCCTGCTGAGCCTGAGAGGGCATAGAGGGAGACGAAGGTGTGGAAGAGATGCATGTCTAGAGATGCCGTTTAGTGTAACGGAGAAAATAGGCCCGAGAACCGTTTTTGAATTCTAAGACGCCTGAATCAAGGCCAAGGGGTCGTTACGCACCGGTGTGTAATTCTCGGTCACCGAACTAGACGCTATATAGGTTCATTCAATAAATGTTATAAATTCCGCTCCCAGTCCCTGGCTGTAGACATCCAACTACGAAGCCCTCGCAGCCCGCCTCCACTATGGCATTCATTTCCCTGGTCTCGTACTCTACCGCGCAGTTCCTGTTAACAGCATGGGTCATCTGCTACACGACGAAGAATTCCTTGTGGCGCCCCGCTGCTGTTCCTGTCGTGCTATACACCGCGTATCAGACATGGCTCTCCCTAGACTTCTTCAATAACAACCAACTCGTGAACCCCATGACAGCAGGCTTTGTAGCGGGCTTCGGCCTACATCATCTGAATCTACTCTGCACAAGCCGGATGGATATCAACGATGTACGCGAGGCTATTGGCGCAAACACGAACGCCAAAAAGCACGATATGTCCAGAAACACCTGCTTCCGCGGAACACTGTACATTCTCACCACCCTCCGAGGCATCGACACATCCTACGAGGTCAGGCAAATCCGGCACGGCCGCGAATCTTCAGCATCGCGGTCCGGATTTCTCCTTTGCACGCTGGCCATCGTCGCTGCGAAATACCTCGTTCTCGACTTGATGACCTTCCACCCACCCTCACCAGAGGATACTCAGCGTCTATTCGGCGAAGGGAAGGAATACTTGCTCTTTCGGTCTCATAGTCTCCCACCGGTAACAGTCCAGGACATTCTCACCAACCTCGGCGTTACCTTTCTCGGCTGGGGCCCGATAGGGAGCTGGTTCATCGAGGTGCACTACCGCGTTTTGTCTCTGGTGTCGGTTGGCTTGGGCGTATCCTCGCCGCATCAGTGGCCGCCGCTCTTTGGCTTTATCACAGAGGCTTATACGCTCCGCCGATTCTGGGGGTAAGAAATGCTTTCCGTATCCCCTACTGAAGAATGCGGTAGCAGCTAAACCAACCCACCTTTAGAAATTTCTGGCACCAGCTCTTCCGCTGGCCTATGCAGGGCATATCCTCGTTCGTATGTTGGGATATCCTCCGCCTCCCCCGCCCCTCGCTCATCGAGAGGTACGCCAAAATCATCGTTGTCTTCATCATCTCGGCTGCATTGCATCTCGCCATTGACTCCCGGGGCGGAATTATGCACCCGCAAAGTGGTGCGCTGAGGTGCTTCCTCATCCAGCCGCTGGGGATCATGCTTGAAGACGGAGCGCAGGCAATCTACCGTCGGGTTCGCGGAGGAGCGGCAAAGTCCAACAGGTGGACCAAGACGGCGGGATACATCTGGGTCTTGGCCTTTTTGACCCTAGTGGCACCATTGTATAATTTCCCGCTGTTTCGGCATCAGGATCCGAGTAGAAATGGGGTGCCGGTGCCTGTTATCCAACCGTTTATTGATTACCTAGGGTCGAGAGAGTAGCCTGGGGCATGGCTATACGACATTCAAGAGAAATGAGAAATTGTTAGAGGAACACTTCATGCACCACTTTCCTATTCATAATCTTGATTGATCCCCCGCCAATGTGGTTATAACCCAGTTGTTTGGAATGTGAGTAGAAGCAGCCCTGTATTCAGGTTTTGCGCGTGGTAACAATCTCCTTCAAAAAGTACTCCTACTCTGTCTCTCAGCCCACTCCGCGCAACGCCCGAGATTGCTCAAGACCGCCAGTGCCTTGGCAGTGAGGACCCCGAGACTGCACGGCTTGGCACTCTGCCACCAACTACGAGGCAGTTTCCCGTTCTCACTATTCCATCTATCTCCAAATTGTTATTGTATCTAAAATGCTACGCCATATGTTCCTCATACTGACATGCGTAGCATGGATCGAGTTCGCAATTCACTTTTCACCCCAAATCGAAGTAAGATCAATCCCCCCAAAACGATCACTTCTTCAGTTCAACTAAACCTATGCAGGAAATCAGTCACCAATTTTTCGCAAGCAAGGTTCCTGTGGCTCATGACCCGGTGCCATTTTTACCCCAGAATGAGGAAGAGCATTCTCGTCTCCTGCGCAGTCTTCAGCGATCCAGTGGAAAGTGGGATAATTCCCACCCTCGATATCGACTGTTAACGGCACTACATGAATTTACTCGATATCAAAACGGGACCGAATCCGAGTTGAGTAGATGGAGAAATCTTTACAAGAAGGTGCCAAAGCATCAGAGATTGGTAGGGATCCAGATATCCTTCTATCTGGTTGGACCCGCGGATCATGCTAATTGAACTAGTTGCTTGATTCAGCCATCAACTACACTGGTAAGTTGAAGAGAGCAGAGAAGCTGCTCAAAACCAACGCCAGGATTGCTCAATCAATTGCGCAAACCGGGTTGCAGTTCTACAATATCACATCGTCTGAGCTAGACGAGTTCATCCGCGAGACCGAGGCTCAGGGCCGGCGGGCTGATCGTACTAGCGTCTCGCAAAGTATGAAGCATTTCGTGCGTGACTGGGCAGACGAGGGCTACGCCGAGCGACAAGAATCCTTTCAATGTATTTTGAGATCACTCTCCCTAGTACCTCGAATGGACGATAGGACCCTGCGAGTACTGTTGCCTGGGGCAGGACTAGGGAGACTAGCCCACGAAATCCATAAGCTTGGGGGTAAGTGTATTATCGGATCTCTGGGATGCTCTGATTGACCTAATCATGGCTCCAGGGTTCGAAGTCGTGATGAATGAGTGGTCGGCATACATGAATTTGGCCTATAGGTATATTTCTAGTCGATCCGAACCGGACAGTGTCTCGTTTTACCCATTTGCCGACTGGTGGTCTCACCACGCCACGACTACAGATCTCGAGCGCCCGGTCACATTCCCCGATCAATTGAGTGACCTGTCGTCTATCGTACTAATCGAAGGGGATTTCACGACGACATTTGCTGAGCACACCGGTCAATACGATATCATCGTGACCTTATTCTTTATTGATACTGCCCGTAACCTGATCTCATATATTGAAAATATCCATCGCTTACTCCGTCCCGGTGGTCGATGGATCAACCTAGGTCCTTTGATGTATGGAACGGCACCATTTGTGCAGTTATCTTTGGACGAGATTGTGACATTGGGTACGCGAATTGGGTTTGACTTCCAGGAGACTGATGATAGAGTTGGGAATATCACTATACCTGACTTGCCAGTCCGGGGGTTTGAAGTGGCCTATGGTCGAAACCCTCGCGGGTTAAACAAGAATGCATTTCAGGCACAGTATTGGGAGGCATTGAAACGTTAGCAGGAATGCAACAGGTGTTGAGATGTTCCATTTTGCTTCTAGAGAATAGCATTCAATGATTGTATTCGGTCAAGGGCCAGATATTTGAGAGTGAAATAGCTGTGCTCCGGGAAGAAATAGAAATATATAGAGCAACAACAAAACAAAATTACCGAATCGCATTAACTTGGTGTCGATTAGATTAGCCTGGGGAAATACCTGCTTAGAACAAAGTAATGGATTTCATATGCATGATGGCACCTTCCACCACCTCTAGACCAGAAAATGTGCAGCCTGTACAGCCACAGACAAGGATTCGGATCCCTCTACAGACTTTAACTAAATTTGGTGGAAGTTCTACCGTGTCTGGAAGCTGCTTAGCGACTTCGTCACCAGCTACCTTGCCAATGTTGGTCACCGTCACTGTGACCGTGTAAAGAGCGTCCCAACAGTTTCCACCGGAGCCGTGGTATCTATCACAAGTCATTTTAGGGCCAAACATCTATAATAGCAGTGCCATCCTTCGCATTATATGGGCATTAGGTTCGTTTGGAGTGCTCGTCCTCGTGGTTGGGCTCTGCCCCGACTCGTTGTGGATTCTCCTGGGGTGGGGAGTTGCCGTAGCCCATCTACGTTGATGTCAGAAGGGACCAGAATGAAGTGCCGCTGAGGTATTACTCACCTTATCGAGTTTATAGTTCACCATCATAAGACTTAGCGGGATCAGGGGGAGAGTAGCGATGATGGCCAATGTCAAGAGTCGGTTCATGGTCTCTTGGTAGGCACGGTTGATGGCAATGCGAGCTGGAGATCCCATCGGGTACGACAGGGCCTCGGTCAACTTGCCAAAGATTTCACCCGCTTGGCCCTTGGTTTCCTCGGGGAGGTATTGAAGAAGCTTGTGTGGGATGGCCGAGGACCAGACGGCTCCTGATATAGCAGCGCCAACGGCACCGCCCATCTCCATGGAGGTCAAGAACATAGCTGTTGCTGCGGCGACTTCTTGGTGGCTGGCGGAGGCCTGGACACCTAGTTGGACAGGCACGTTGACCAGACCACCACCGATGCCGACGATGATTTGGGTTCCCAAGACCTGGAAGTGGGATGCCCCTTCGCCTCGGTATAGAAGCATGAGGGCCAGACCGGTCATGTAGACGACACATCCAATGGTCACGTAGATACGGTAGCGACGGGTATATTTGATCAGAAGCGACACGCTAAATGCGGCAATGGTTGAAGTAAAAGAGAAGGTCTGGGTGACGCGTCCTGCTGTGGCAACGTCGTACCCTTGTACAACCTGGAGGTAGGAGTACAGATAGGGCTGAACGGAGAAATAGAAGGCCACTGGACGAGGATTAGTAACAACACTCGCGAGCTGTGGATTAACACTTACTGAAATACCAAAAGGCCAATGCACAGCCTGCAAGAGCAGTCTTTTGCTTAAGGAGGTGTAGAGAGAGCAAGGGCTTGGGTGCCAGTTTATGGGAAGACTCCCAAAATGGGAGCACAACGAAGCAAATGACACCGAAGATCATCATTACCAAGATACTAGGGTTCATCCACCCACCCTTCGCATTGGCTGCGAGGGTCAAAGGCACAAGAAGCAAAGCCAAAGCGGCAGATAAAAGAGTCAGACCTCCTACATCCAGATCGTACCAGGTCCGACGCACGGTGCTGAAAAAATCCCTGTGTCGCCTAGACCGTGTCTTGATCAAATTCAGTCTTCGAGCCTTACGCTGGTTAAATAGCAGCGACAGGGCCAGGGGCAGGAAGGATGCAGGCAATATAATAGCCCACATACCATATCCCCACCGCCATGAGCTGGTACGCAGTATGGCGCCCGCGATAGTGGGCCCAAGCCATACAGTAACCAAGAATGGGAATTCGGGTAGAAGCGCGAGGAAGGCACGGTTCAGCAAGTCACTGCTGTCGGCGATGAACACTTGCTGGAGGATCTGCAAGCCCGTTGAGCCGGCAGAGTAGAAGATTTGGGCCGATGCGTAGGTTTGGACATTCGTAGAGGTAGCCATCTGAATGTATCCAAGCGTGTATATGAGGATACTAACGCAGAATGCCTCAAAGCGACCGAATACATCGGCGATTTTGGCCATCGGAGGTTTAATGACAGCTATTGCAAGTTAGTAACTTTCATCCGCTTCCAAGGCTCAAGGCAGGGGAGTGAAGTCCTACCATTGACCACATTCTGAATGACAAGAACTGTCGAGATTAGCGAGTGCTTACTGAAAGCACTCGTCGCATATGCCGACAGCGACATCACAGTCTGACCCTCTAGCGACGTGCAGAATGCCATGAGGAATATACTTTGCGCCAAGTCAGCAGGGGTCAACAAAGGCACGGGACGGAAGCCACACGAACCTGACGTAGGCAATCACCAGAGAACGAGTCGTCCAGGTCAAATTGATGGCTTCAATTTTTGCAACTCCCTCCTGCATTTCGTCCGGCGTGGACATTCCACTGGGCGGAGCCTCAACCTCGTAGTCATCCTGCAGCAGCAGCTCCCTCTCATTGTCCACGTGGTTGTCTTCCTGTTCCATAGTGCCGTAGGACGGTCCTGACCGCGGATCGAGAAGGGGCATCTCGGTGATGCGCACCGATATAGCTCGACCAAGAGTTCGGTCTTGGATTAGTTAAAAGCATATACAAAGGACGATCTTAACAGCGTCGATTAAGCGGCAGAACGGAACATCAAAAAGAGTTCATGCAACATCAGGCGTCGAGGACGTATCACATAAAAAGGATGAAATCCTGCTCTACTAAGCAAGTATCGGGTTGTTCAGTCTGAGCCAGCCAGGTCCACTCGAAAAAGCAACGAAGAGCGAATCGGAGAGCGAGTAGGGAGCAGAAAAGCGAAATAGACGAGAAATACCGGGCGCAACAGGAAAGAAAAAGATGAAGCGCGCTTGCCTGGTCGATAACTCATGGAGGGCTATGTACGTAGCAGGATCCGGCAGGCAGCTATGGGCGGGATGGGTAGATCCGCTTTGGAGGGGGCGTCCAGGCTGTAAGGGGAAAGCAGGCCTTGGATAGGTTGAATTTCAGTAATGACACCGAGTCCGATCGTCGGTCGCACTTATGCACGTCGATGGGTCAGTGGCAGCAGAGCGTGAGATGAGAGGCTGAGGTCCGATCTCAGACAGTCCAAGTTAGGCGAGTCGGAGTCATGTTTTCCAGTCAGCCAGTCATATCAGTCATACAGTCATTCTCGTAATGTTCGGAACAAAGTGAAAGGGATGAAAGAGAGAGAAGAATCGTAAGAAAATTGAAGTGGAGTGGCTTGTCAAGGCACATCCCGGCCTTACGGGGTTACGTTCCGTGCGGTACCCGAGTGGTACCCGGACGGTACCTCAGATCAGAGTGTGGCATAGGCTGATCTTTTGGTACTGCCAAGTCACTATGTGGTTCAGACCATCAGATATGATTTGATCGATAAGATGGAAACCTGATTCTTGGTTCGGCGATTTTTACCGCCATTCCATCCCTTCCAGCCTGACTTGGGAGATTTTAAAGAATGCGTGTTATGAAGTGGGTTCTTTCTGATTCTGACACCTGTCTACTGGATATAAAGCAAGAAGCCAAAAAAGTCTAGTAAATCTAATCATCCACTGTCGGGCGTCAACATGCATTGCTACCGTACCCTGTTGCCGATGTCTTTATACGAGAATATGGTACGGAATATCTCCGTCAAAGAATTGGATGTCAAGGTTTCTGATGTAGCCGGTCACTTGATCCGGACATTACATTTTCCCTCTAATTTAGTGTCTAATTTACTGCAGAACAGTAAATCTCCATCAAGTTATATCAAGGGTGGTGTGACCTCGGCAGCTTTGCGCCGGGTTATGCCGTTACACGATCAAAAGGGAAATCTGATAAACTCTAATTAGGGCTAGAGTATATAGAACACTCCTAGAAAATAAAAGGACCGGACTTGGCATAGAAAAGAGGAAAGTACTCCTTTGACCAGTAAATTTCTTGAAGGTCCGAGTGAGAAAAATCTAGTCTCCACTTGGCAAAATGCGTCCAGCCTAATATAGTATGACAGCTCTATACGTTTCATGTTCAAATTAAAGCCCGTTGATCTCTTCACTAGTGCACCTGGCAGCTTCTGATCACCCGACATGACAAAACTACAAATCAATTGTAATGGCATTGAAGTCTATCCGTGTATTGGCTGATCGACAGTATCTCGCCTGTGGCATATCCATGTGGAGCTGGGCTCCTGTCAAACTGCTAGCCGATACCTTTATCATACCACAAACGGGCCTATTTGGATTCCATATGCTTTCACATAACTGCCTGGCCCAGGCCATCTGGATCCGATTGTGGCAAGATGGTACAAAGACAGAGAACTCCAGGGACTGTGTACCATCTGTCTAGTTCTTTTACTCGTCTATACATTTTACTGTAAAAGTACAGATTGGCTACCTACATGCAACCTTTTATCAGCCCTGACAAAGTTGATCCTATTGTCAATATTGTTCTAGAAGCCTTCGCCACCTATCACCCGAAACATCAAACTATCGACATCCCACGAAATCATGCCTGTTCTATAATCAAATGTCCAAAGTTAACCGGGAGCTCTCCACCCTCACTAGAAGGCCGAGCAGCATAAACACCAACCCAGCAGTCCTTCACATCCTTCTCCTCAAAGATCCAAGTAATCTCCCGGAGAGGCGACTTCTGCAGACCCTCAACCAGATAGATCCACAAACTATTGTCCTGTTCTTTGGCCATCTCAAGGGTCGCCGCACCACCACCAGAAGGCACAGCCAGCAAGCTCCAGTCCGCCCAGTTATCTTTAGCGACGGTGCTCAGGTGGGGTCTGCCATGGGTGAGCTCAATGCCGGTCTTCACCCACTTTTTGCCACCATCGGCAGTGTTGAGGACAATGATCAGACCACCCTGGTCATATTGTTTCTCCCAGAGGGCGTTGAAGGCCACGCGGGCCCGCTTGAACGAGCTCAGCGGGATGGACTGGTACAGGATTGGCGCTGAGAAGCGGCTGGTGGAAGGTGGCTTGTCCCAAATGTCTGTTGAGGCTGGGGCTTTGATGGTGAATTCGGAGGGAGGGGTGCCGTTGCCTGGCACTTTGTCGTTCGAATTGGCGAATTTGAATTGCGGCATGGTGGGATATATGCAGCTGCGGGGAAGCTGTGGTATACTTGTAGGTAATGTATGTTCAGTTGCCACACCACGGATGACTGGTGTGTCTAGAGGAGATGTGAGAATTGATTCCAGTGAACATTGAAAGTAAGCAGGGAGATAAATGAGGAGAAGTACCCGACCACGGCTACGTCACTACAGAGTGTAATCCGGAGTTCCCATCGGAAGAGTGCGTTGCACGGTTTCCCCTGCTGAGAGAGATGCTGGATGCCGAACCAAAGAAACGGAAATCAAACAGATATAACACTATCAACCA